AGAGGAAAACCTTTAACCAGGAAAATTGTGGAAGATCCAGGGTGGGAGAAAGAACTCTTGTCTGTTGGAGGTAGGTATGAATGTTTCAGTTGGCCACCTTGATTGCCATTTCATAGCCTGACAGTTTTTAGGGAGAATCCTTTGTTGAGAGGTGATTAGCTGGCCCTGATTGTTTCTTGTCTGGAGTTCCCCTGTGTTTGAGTGTTGTTCTTTATTTACAGTTATAATTTTAGAGTTTTTTAATACTGGTAGCCAGATTTTGTTCAGACTAGAAATAGGAAGATTTCCCATTCTCTGCTCCTGGAATTACTGCCTAAAGAGGGCTAGAAAGAACCCCCTCTAAGGGCCCTTCCACACAGCAAAATAAGATATGTGCAATGTGCATGGGATTTTTTAATTGATTTTTTTAAAAAAAAAAACCTATAGTCCGGCCCTCCAACGGTCTGAGGGACAGTGAACTGGCCCCCGGTTTAAAAAGTTTGAGGACCCCTGGGTTAAACCCTTCAGCTCCCGCTTTCCATGCAAGGACATGAGAGAAGCCTCCCACAGGATGGTAATACATCCAAGCGTCTCCTGGGCAATGTCTCTGCAGATGGCCAATTCTCTCACACCAGAAGCAACTTGCAGTTGCTCAAATTGCTTCTGACATGATAAAAAAAACAATTAAGCATTATTTTTGGATTCAGGTATGCGTTCTAGACATCCAGTTACATACATCTTTTTACAGAATGCAGTGTAGTATTGTACACATGACAATAACTATCGATATTGGGTTGGACGATATTGGGTTAGATGATATTGGATTAGAATATTTTGTACTATAGCAGTAATGGTAAATAGAGGGCTATTAAACACAGCAAGAAGGAAAAGCATGTTGCAAGATAAGATTTAGACCGATATTAGTAAGTGGGATGTGGCATAACAATATAGACGTTACCCATGAAGATCACAAAAAGGGTTATTAAAATTTCAGGGATGTTATTGGATGTTGTCTCAGTGAAATAGGGGTAGCCTTTTTTTTACTGGTACTAACACAAGTGCTAACCTTAGGAGTCTTCTTAGAATGACTTTCTGATGGGGATTGAACATTATTTAAAATTGTCCAAACCACAAATGTTTTTGGAAATTGAAGAAAACATAATTCCGCTTGAAAATAAAGTATAAAATTGAACATGTCCAATACTCTTGATTGGTTCTATATGTGCTCATAGATATAAATATGCTACCTTTTAGATTAAGTGTGTGTTTGGCTGACTTCTAACCAAAATGTTTCCATACCTTCTTAGAAGGTTTTTAAAAAAGACTTGCTGGAGATGATTTATCCTTTTTGAATAAAACATGGCTTACAGTTATACCGGATTCAGTCCAAAATATTTCATCTGCTTCCTAAAATGATCAAGCAAAAATACCTCAGATCCCTTCCTGAATGGCTGGTCGATTTGCCCATAGCAATCTATATCCATCTGAAATTATCCAATTTTATATCAGTCCATATCTAACTGGGACTATTATAACTGGGCTAAATAATTTCATCCATAACATCAGAGGTTAATTTCCATGTTTTAACGTGCATGTCCTTATCTCTGTGCAGAGCTATACTGCTTATAGCTCTAAAGGTCATTCTCTTTCACAGGGAATAAGTGAGTACAAATCAGATTTTTAAAGATGAACAAATTTGAGAAATAGTGAATAGATGCTTCAGTTGCCTGAGATTGTCACCATGCGTAGGATTCAAAGGATGGCTGATGATAGGTATTCATTTGACAGTACCCTTTGTGTCACAGATTCTTGATGACTGTCTCACTGTAGAAGGAAAATTGCACTGAAGGATTAAATCTTGGTTTGAGGTCATGCAGCTAGAAATGCTACTTGATACAAGCTGTTCTCTTTGGCATGTCCCTGGGAAAAGAAACATACTTGACCTATCTGTTTTTCTGTCTGCAGTAGTATTAAGTATCTTTAGGTTTCATTGGGTCTTGGGTATGTTAACCATGCTTCTTTTTATTTTGTATTTTTTGTTTAGCCTTATTGGACAAGGATGTTTCCTCCCCATTGTTGATGCAACTCTCCAATTTCTCTGAGTTATTTCAATATATGTAATGTAGACTCAGATATAGAATTTAAATGGCAATAAAATGAGAGAGAATGGCCTAGCGAGCTATGCCAACCATAATTAATAACCTGCATTCCGGAGTAAAAATTCACCAGTGAGGCGAAGACAAAGGACAGAGGTGTTGATTTCTTCTTGACTAAGATGTGATGCTTGCGAGCACCTGCTCCAAAAATTACAAGCATAAGAGAGCATGTACAGTTTTTATACAACCAGGTTCATTATTATAGTTTGAATCATCCTTCTTCTGTTTCTGGTTGGCTGAGCTCTGATTATGTGGCTGGAAATCCCCACCTAGCCAGTGGGAATGCTCTGTGAATTGAGAGGAGTCTCCAGGAAGTGCTGGCATTCCAGGCCAGCTGGGGTCCAGGTGGGGATGATGGGAAACTCAGGCCCTGGAGAACAATGGAAGCTGAGGTCTGTGATCTTGGATTGGGCTAGTTAAAGATGCCTGTAGTTGGGCAGTTGAAAGCTATTTCCTATCTTTTGCTATATTCTTTGTCTTAGCCTGGGAATGATAGCTTTGTAGCCTGAGCTAGGCCAATTAAACAGTTTACATTTTAAGAATAAAGTAGAATAAACTTGGGGAATAGACACATTATATAAAAATATAAAAGTTACACAGAAAGGGACAAATATAAGTCTTGGCTTTGGATGTCTAAGCATTATTATGTCTTTTTCTAGTCTAGCCAGATAAAGGATGCTGCAATGACCCAAAGTCTCCTTTGTCTTCATCCACGCCTAGGGCCATTTCTCAATGTGAAACAATAGCTGAATAATTTGCTTCCTGGCCTAGGTCACGTAGAGGTTAATGTTTTTCTGTCCCAGAAGTAAATAGATTTATAGGGATAAAAATGGAATAAAATATAATTTTATGAGGAGACCTGGGAGCTTCATGCAAAAGAGAGGATGACACCGTATCTCATTATGGCTTGTTGCCCTTGGAAGACTATTAATCCCTAACTATAAATCCTTTTTTATTAGGGGCGGGAGTAGTGCAGTTCAATAACAACTCTAACTATAAATGCTTGTGTTGCAATACATTGATTATTCTTTAGGGTGTCGCATGAGTCTGTCAGAAAATGTTGGTACATTGTTCTAGCAGGATTTATCAGTGAAACATTTTAAAAGATTTGCTATTGAAGAGCAAGGTTTTTATGTACGTTATTGGAATCCTATGTGCCAAGAAGAATTATCAAGAATTATAGCAAATTTCTTATCTGGAAAATCACACTTCCAAAGAGGAAAATGGACATTGACAAATTGATTACTAGGATAATAATTTCCATGTGACAAGTCTAAAGGGGACACAATACTTTTTTTACAGTTACATTGGATCTCTCAGGTTGAGATAAATAGACTTATCCTTTCCAGATGGCTGCATGGGGGATATACATGATGCCCTGAGTATTCCCACCTCTGTGCCATGGCCATACATTTGGAGGGTTGGAAAGGATATATAGGGCTATCTAGTCCAATCACATCCAGTGTAGAAATCTGTAGCTAAAGCATTGTGGACAAGTGGCCATCTAACCTCTTTTCCAAAACTTCCAACAGTCCTTGTTCTCTCTGTCCACGGGGAGGGAACAATAAAAGGCTCCTATTCTCTTTTTTATTATTCTATGCTTGGGGAGGGCAGATGATCAAGGGTAGGTTAGAAGGTTTCGTAAGTTCTTTGTAATAGCTGATAATACCAACTGAAGATCAGCTGTTAAGTGATTGTTGATCATATATTAGTATAAGTACCATATATATCCCTGTTCAGTCAACAAGGTGACATTTGAAAAGTACATTCTTTAAGAGGAAGGCAATGGCAAATGTCTTCTAAAAGCCCTTTGATAACTTGGGCATATATCAAAGTTGATCTGAAGGCACACAAAAGCAAAAACAAAGCTAAACATTGTTGTGATCATACCCTTTTTTATAGCAAAGAAGCAATGCCAATTTTTACACAGGATGAGAGAAATATTTTTTGGCAAACTCAAGATCTATGTATTGTCGAAGGCTTTCATGGCCAGAATCACTGGGTTGTTGTAGAATTTTTCGGGCTATATGGCCATGTTCTAGAGGCATTCTCTCCTGACATTTCACCTGCATCTATGGCAAGCATCCTCCAGACCTCTGACCTCCAGACCACACTACCTCTGAGGATGCTTGTCATAGATGCAGGTGAAACGTCAGGAGAGAATGCCTCTAGAACATGGCCATACAGCCCGAAAAAACCTACAACAATCAAGATCTATTATCACACAATGTTGTTTAGATATGTGAAGGAAGGGCAACCATAAAGATTCAGGAGCCAGATATCTTCCCCTAAAATAGGTGCTTAGATAAAGAATACCGAGAGGTTGACAGAACATTATAAAACAATCAATGATATGAAAAAGTGTTTCTATGTCGCAAATGCCAGGTTATCCTTTGTAATGACAGGCAATAAATTCACATCAGACAAAAACAAAGTTGTTCTTTATGCAGTTCACAAGTAACCTGTGGAATTCACTGTCGTGAAATGTGTTGATTGCCCCTGGCTTAGATGACATTAAAGGGATAAAGTTAATTCATGAAGAGAGGTCTCCTAATGCCTATTAGCCACGACAACTAAATGGAACTTCAGTGTTCAGGGATGGAATGGATTGATTGTTTGATTTGATTGATGCCCTGTCTCTCTCCCCAAATGGGGCTTATGAATACCAATTGCTGGGAAGCAAATAGCAGGACATGGCTGTGGCTGTCATTTCTTCCTCCTGGGCTTCCTGAGGAAGCCCTTTGGAAAGTGAAAGCACATCTAAATGAAACTTTGATTTGATCCCATAGGGACTATTTTACTTTGATAGAGGCTTTTACTGGGGATATAGTGTTACCTATTCCTATCTTGTCTTTTCCATTGCAGGTATGTGAATACTCTTCTGAAGCTCATTCCGCCTGTGCTGGGGCTACAGGAGCAACTACGTCAAGCTGTCCAGAGCAGAGATATGGAAACATCTCATGGCATCTGCCGTATTGCTGTGGCCCTAGGAGAGAATCATTCCCGGTAAGGAGCACTTGGATAGCGGCGATGTTTTAAGATATTATTCTTGAGTACTCTATACTGCTTGCCAGAGGAGAGGTTGGTGTCCTCCCATCTACCCTATTAGATTTCTTTGCAGCTAAGCAGCTTACAAGTTTTTCATATCCCCCCTTTTAAAGCAGCCCAAAATCCACAGAACAATTTGAGCTACCTTTGCATGGTTGTGATGAAATTGTTCAGAGATTATATAATAGAAGCCACTAGAGATCCTAAATCAGTTCTAATTGGTCAGTTTGATGTGGTATTTGTTTCCTGATCTAATAATGGGCAGCTTTAAGTATGGTTCCTGTTCTGCTTTATGGAAAGTACAGACATACCATATATTGGTCTAATCCTGGGGTACTTTGCATTCCTTTGAGCCTATCACATATTGTTATAATGTTGTTTTTATGTTGTTTTATGTTGATGATATGCATTTTAATGATGTTATGCATTTTAATGTGTTATGTTTTAACTTCGTTGGTTGGGCTTGGACCTGTATAAGCCACCCCGAGTCCCTTTGGGGAGATGGTGCAGGGTATAAAAATATTATTATTATTATTATTATTATTATTATTATTATTATTATTATTATTACCATGGTAGAGCAGAGATATCTGACAATGCATACTTTCTGCCTATCACAGAGCTCTCCTGGATCAAGTCGACCACTGGCAGAGCTTTCTGGCTCTGGTCAATATGATAATGTTCTGCACTGGAATCCCAGGACACTATCCTGTTAATGAGACTACAAGTTCCCTTACACTTACATTCTGGTACACACTACAGGTTAGTGTTATCTGTCAGTCTTTTAAACTCGATGCAACTTGTTCACTGAATGCTGCCATAAAGAGGCTTAGAACAATTGTTTTTATATATACAAAAACATATCATATTACTTGTGTTGTTATAAGTTCAGGATTGAGTACAATGGAATGTTCTGAGGCACTTTGTAAGGGTTGGTAGTGAAAGATGTTAGTCATAGCCCTGTGCTTGGTAGAATAGAGGTTCTTTTTCATGTATAACCCAAAAGCCAGGTTGTATCACAAGGGCTTAATTTTAACTTATTTCTTACAGAAATCTTTGTTCTTTTTTGCTACATGGACAAGGTATTAGATCCATATGCCAACATGATTGTGTTCTAGGCTGCAGAGATGGCCATGTGATGGCCTTAGATAGATGAGGGCATCATCTATCGAAGGATGCTGCTAATAATAGATTTTCAGTGGAATTTCTTGCTTCTTGAAGAATGAGCACTTCAAAAAGGCATGTGGCTCAAGCTGATTATTCTTAAGAAATTTCTCTTTTTTTTCTGAGGAGCCAGGCCTTTTCATTCTGCAAAAGAGTACTTTTGCTGTCCATTCTGATGAAAGCAATATTCCATCCAGTGTTCACAGCAAATGACAGAATTTCTTTCTGATTTCCTGTTACTGTACTACCTTATCTTCTGCAGTTGGCCTTGTCAGGGAGAACCTTTTAAGTTTCGACTCTGCTTTTCTTGTTTCTCTGAGAGGCGTTGCTGCTTCTCCTCTCATTCCAAGTACAGATGCTGATCCGGATGTGCCTGTAGTGGTGTATAGTTGCTGCAATATTGAAATACAACCCTAGAAGCTGTGCAGCCTGATCTGACTTGCACTCCCCATCCTCACACTTGCTTGAAGTTTGGAAGCTTCATTCACATAGCAAATTCATTTGACACTCCTGTGCTGGCCAAGAGTAAGGCTAGCTGTTGAGCTACTTCTTTGTGTGTCATCTGAGGAATATATCGTCTGAGTGTGTGACTGGAGCAATAATGGAATCCATAGGCATATCATTGCTAATGAAGGAAGCAGGGTTGGAAGAGCATCTTGTTTAGGCATATGGAAAGCAGAGGGACTTTCTTCTCCAGTTTCTACCTGACACAAGAAAACAGGCTTGCAGTTTTCACTGTGGTCTTTGCTTTCCCCAATTTTCAGTTAAATTTTGTGCCAGGCAGCATGATATATCTACAAAGAGATTGCTCTGTGGAATCTTTTGCTGTTGTTTTTGGAAACATCCTTGTCAGCTTGACTTTAGAGATGATTTGATCTATCACTCTGCATACCCAGTTGTAAGGAGTATAAATATCTGAAGAGCAAATTTAACCAAGCCATACTTGTTGGAAACCTGTCAACTGAAAATGAAATCCTCAGTTCTCATTTACTGGGTAGGGAAGTTATGGGATTGATGTCAGTAGTCTAGAGTTCAACATAGATAGGTATCCACTTTAATTTTTATTTCCTAACACTTTTAGTTATTTTTTTAAGTAGGACCCATTTTCCTCTTCTTTGCTTTGCTGTGTTTGAACTCAGTGGCCCAGAGTTCCTTCCTGCTGTCCCTTTCTATTTGTATATCAGTCCTGCTTGCAGTGTAATCTTTTCCAAGGCACACCATATAGCAGCATAGGAGTCCCTGGTATCTTCCATGGAGCACATGTGGTTATACTGAAGAAACTGATTAAGTCCCCCCATGCCTAGAAGTGTCTGTGTAGATGAGAACAAGGTAGTGGAAACACGTAAACCTGTGTCAGCTTCTCTTTTTTCCTGGGTGGGGATGGCATTGCTGTGACAGGAAACTGGACTTTAAACTAGTCATGATGATATCAGACAACTGAGTTCCCCACATTGACATTTTATTAAAAGTGATTGTTCCTTCTGACTGCTCTAAAATGCTTGGAAATTGCTTGTGTTGCATTAGCTGATTGGAGCTCTAAGTTAATATTTCCAGTTTACATGTATGGAATGAACTTTTTCTTTACAGGATGACATCCTGTCTTTTGATCCAGAAAAGCAGGCCATGTACCAGCAGGTATATCGTCCTGTATATTTCCAGCTGGTGGATGTGCTCCTGCACAAAGCTCAGTTTCCTTCTGATGAGGAGTACAGCTGCTGGTCCTCTGATGAGAAGGAACAGTTCCGGATATATCGGTATGACCTTTTGCCTGACACCATCCTTTAATGTTGCCCACAGGAACAAAGGGAAAGTTGTTGTGTCTATAAATTGGTTAGAAGTTGTATCAACAATTTCGGTCCAGCTTCATTCTGCAGGAGAGATTGCTCAGTGATTCTTTGCTCTTTTGCCTCTTAGAGTGGATATCTCAGACACTTTGATGTACGTGTATGAAATGTTGGGAGCTGAGCTGCTGAGCAGCTTATATGACAAACTGGGTCGCCTCCTAACCAACACAGAGCAACCATCTTCCTGGCAGGTGAGTGGGAATTTTCAAATAGATTTCCAGCCCTTAACTGCCGTTATAAAATTGGGAAGGTTGAATAGAGATGGAAGATGCTGCAAATTTTGGAGGATAATAGAAATAATGGTGGCCAGGAATGTGAAAAAGAGGCATTAAGGTGGAATGAAGTTGCATAGAAGAGTGGATAATTCTATGTTCTCAAAACACTGTGTTGGCTAGATCAATCAGATTTTACAATTTATGAAAAGTTTTAAGTTTTGGACCCAAATTAAAGACTTGACATTTTTTTTGTAGCTTGCCTATGAGTTTCTGTCTTAAAGCGGCCACTAAAAGCATCAATTGAATCCCAAGCTTTCTATTGTCTATTTCTTGTCCTAATGTTTGACACTTGAAAGTTTTTGAAGTCATTTCGGTACAGTTCACACCATTCTACAGCACTGGTTAAATTGGGCAAGGATTTTTGACAATAAAGTTGCAAAATTCATGAATACATTCTCTGCAAAGTGATGCCAGCAGCTGACTAGATTAAGTCCAAATAGAAAATATCTAACTAATTTCGCCTACATAGAAATTGTTTCTAATCACAAGTTTTGTTATTACTGTAGTGCTTTATATGCTTAAGATTTGGATTTCTTTCAGTGGTAAAATTAAGGGGTGTAACAGATTCATTTCTATTTGTATGAGAAACATATTTCCTTTTAGTTTGGAAAAGAATGCTTGGTTGCTTCTCCTGTTTCATGCCACTAGCAATGCCGGGCCAGGGGTGTCTGTATGGCATCTAATCGGCATGTATCTGCTCACCTTGGCGTGTCCTCTGTACATAACTGGCGCAGCAAACAGTGATGGGTGTCAAACATCACTGACTACTGGGACTTCTCATTCATCACTTTGACAACCAAGCAAGATTGCAACCTGAGCCATCATTTACAATCCAGGCACTTGGAAACCTTAACACTGTATAAGGGATGCCAATGTTGCATAATAAAGCATAATATGCTTTAACTTTGGCAGAACATAGCCTGGTATTATAATAATAATAATAATAATAATAATAATAATAATAATAATAATACTTTATTTATAACCCACCCTATCTCCCTGGGGGGGGGGGGCAGTTGTTTCCAAACAAAAAGTGACAAACATTTAATGCCATAATAACAGACAGTCAAACTAAATCAAAACAATAAGTAAAACAATATCAATATAAACACTGTATCTCAGTCTGTCCTTATCTTAATTGTACAAAGAGATTGAACCATGTTGTCTGACTCTTGGCACAGTGTTTATTAATGTATTTGTTGGCTCTACATTGCCTACATCCAGGTAGGGTTTAGAAGTGGAGCATTACAGACAGACCATGGACTCAATTGACAAACACTTTTCTCTGGCAGCATACAGAGGCTTTGCTTTATGGGTTCCAATCCATTGCGGAGACCATAGATGTCAACTACTCAGATGTGGTGCCTGGCCTCATTGGGCTCATCCCTCACATCAGCATCAGCAATGTGCAGCTTGCCGATACGGTCATGTTTACTATTGGTGAGGAGGCTGGGTATGAAGGAGGGAGGTCTTGAAGGGACAGGCTCTCAGAGATTGAAAGGCTGTCTAGCTCTGCTGGTGGGCTCTGTTTTTGAAATGACTGCTGGGCCCTAGTGCCCAAAAGTATAAGCAAGAATGGGTGTTTGGGTTTGTCCATTGCACCATTAATGTTTGAGCAAAGGTGCAGACTAGCTTTGACTGTGTCACATGTGTTCTGTCTCTATCTAGGAGCCCTTTCAGAGTGGTTGGCTGACCATCCTGTCATGATCAATAATGTCCTACCCCTGGTGTTGCAAGCTCTGGGCAATCCAGAGTTATCTATCTCTAGTGTCTCCACCCTCAAGAAGATCTGCCGTGAATGCAAATATGACTTGCCTCCCTATGCTGCCAACATTGTTGCTGTCTCTCAGGTAACCAACATAAAGATCTGTGGGAGGCAATATGGGGAGGTGGGGATCTTCAGCTTGTGGGCTGAATGCAGCCCAGATCTCTGTTAAACATCGGTCAGACAGGTCCATCTTTCCTGCCCTACTGCAAATCTACTACCTTCCTGTGTCTGCTTCCTCATCTATGAGGAAACTGAAGCATTGATTTTTGATTTCTTATAATACACTCATATGGTTTATGTTCTATGTGGTATGCATGGTGGGAAGGTGAATGAATTAATGGGATGGCTGTAGGTATATGCTTTGTGCATGGATGAAAGGGAAATGAATTTGGCTATGTCCACCATTCTTGGGTGGCCACTGACTACTTTTCTTCTAAGAGAATTGAACCCTAGACTTCAAAGAGGTTATTCACCCCAAATCTAAGATCATGGTTCCTGTGTAAAGCCTTAAATGGCTGATCCTCATTTTGAGCTATATGCAAATCTATATGTGAAGGAGGATAATTCTATGGGAGTCAGAACAGAAGAAATAAGGAGAGTAGCAAAATTCAATAGAGTCAATGTCTGTTGTGTTTTTTCAGCATACAAATATTTGAAGGCATGAAACTGTAAGAACTGTTTGAATCTATCAGTATCAAGATAGCTGTTCACCCCTCTTGGCAGCTCAAGAGGTAATAGGTTTTAAGATACTGTTGTGGGAAGGATTCTATCTAAATGAAGTTTAGTCCTTTGCTTGCTTGAACACAGTCTGTGGAGTCAAACTCCCTACTGAAAAATGACAAGCTATATTTGCAACATATGTCAGGGAACAAAAATGTTCACCCTTGCTGGCATGATGGAAGTCAAGTGTGAACCACGCATAACAAGTTTCCTGTAATGAACCTCAGATGCCCCTTCTCCATTGCAAACTATCCCAGAAAGAGCAAATCCTTTTTTGCCAGCCTTTTCCCTGGAACACCTCCCCATCCTTGTATTCCAAGACCATGTTTGGATCTCATAGTTGTCAGCGGATACTGTAAGTAACCTCTGCTATCAAAAGAAAATCAACTTTCTCTCATTTTTCCCTCCGTAGGATGTGCTAATGAAACAGATTCACAAGGTGAGATGCTTATTTTCTTCTTTGGTACAGAAGATTAAGGAATATATAAAAACCTCTTGCTACCTCTCAGGTTATTATTTTGGCAAAATCAATTCTATACCCCACATGTGTCAAACTCAAGGCTTGTTGTCCAGCTGCAGCCTGTCATATCATTTTATGTGATACTCCAGATGCCGGACTGCATCTTCTGTATTTTCATCATTAGACATCATGACTAAAGCTAATGGTTGTTGTGCTACAGTAACATGTGGGAAGCTGCAATTTGTTCTGTTTCGTAAGGATAGTAGAGTTTGAATTTAGATACAAGACTTGTGGATATGATGCCTGACTTTAAAATGTCCTTTAACCTTTCCCCAATCTCAGAGCCACAAATGCTGTTGGTTTGCAGTTCCCACTTTTCCCAGTCCAAATAGCAGATAATCAAAAGTGTTTGGAGTTGCCATTCAGTAACATCTAGGGACCCAAACTGGGTAAAAACTAAAGAACATTGACCACTCTATAAAAATATATAGTTGGTTCTCTGTATCCACTGATTCTCCACCCATGAATTCAACAGCCCTTTAAAGGTAACTATAAGGCTGATGTGGCCTTCAATGGAAATAAGTTTGACCCTCCTGCTATAGCCAATAAGATTAAAGAAAAGAGTATAGAAACTAATGCCCACTCCCCAAAGATAGAATTCAAATAGAATTCCGTTTGCCTCTCACCATTTTTTTGACTAAAGGCAACATGAGCCTTGCCTGTATTTATGTGGCTACTCGGTTCTGGAGTCTTGCCACTAAATCCGGCCTGCACCATCATACACCACAGCTTAAACATAAAACTTGTGGTTGAGTAATAGCATGGAGTTAAAAGTAAATAACATGAAAATGAAATGAGAACGTAAATTCTGTTGTTAGTCCCAGTTTGATGAGAGCCATTGAATCATTTGGATTTCGCTATGTTTTGATTTATCAGTAATTGATTGAATGGGTCTGCTTTCCTTAGAACTACCAATAGGATACCAGCCAAAAATAAAAATTGAAAGTGAAACATTGCCCACTTGTTCTTTCCTCCAGACAAGTCAGTGCATGTGGTTGATGCAAGCTCTGGGTTTCCTGCTGTCTGCCCTCCAAGTAGAAGAGATCTTGAAGAACCTGCATTCACTCATAACTCCTTACATCCAGCAACTGGAGAAATTGGCTGATGAAACGGTGAGCAAAATCACTTGGATGGTTCTGTTTCCGTAAGGAAAACCAAGTATATTTTTCTTTGCTATAAGCAACATCTTTAACTACTATGGCTTTTTGGCTACCAGCTGGATGTTGCCTATATATGATTTATTTTTTAGAATCCCCACCTAGTTTTATAAGCCCTTGGTCTTCTAATTCCCTGCTTGTCTGGTGAATCTCTGATTTTTTTCCCTCACTCCTATTCAGGCCCATAGCCAGGATTTCGATTCTGGGGGGGGGGGGGTTTGGGGGGGGGGGGGGGCTGAGTCTGAGTGAAAGAGGGTCTACCCTAGCAAACCTTTTGTATTGTTACCCCAATACCCCCATGCATATGGGATATATTGAGTATGGTGATCAGATCATGATATGAATAAACATAACAGTTTAAATAATGCACCAGTAAGGCCTTTTCACGAACCACCATGAGAATTTCAGGGGGGGGGGGCTAACCCCCCCCCCCCCCGGCTACATGCCTACTCCTATTCTATCCCTAGTTCTAAAAACTGGGAAAGTGGAATATCTGATGAGAATGAAAACTTTTCAGGGTTGAAAGGTTATATGGTTCTTTTGTCCATATAAACAACCTGAAATATCTGTTACCAACCTGAAATATGTTAGTGGCCCATTACCTGGGTCCGCCAATATAGTAATGCCTTGCCTTGCAGCCAAATCCTTCCAACAAGCTGGCTATCATCCACATCCTGGGCCTTCTCTCCAATCTCTTCACTACATTGGATATCAGCCACCATGATGATGATCATGAAAGCACAGAGGTCAAGAAGCTGCCGGTGCCACAGGGTCCAAATCCGGTGGGTGTTACTGTGTACCTGGATTGTACTCAGTCAGAGAACTAGTTACCTCCCTTGCCATTTAACTATGTTTTCTTTTAACTCGTTGGAAGGGGGCTGTGGAACTGTGTTTGTATTCCATTGCATATCTGAATGAGACCTTAGATCAGCCACCCCAGATCATAAGCTAATTGACATGACTGCTGAGTAAACAAAGCTGTGCTGAGAACTCCCCTTAGAAAGAAGTGTAGGTTTCATTTGCATTGACTTTTGAAAAATCACTGTCTTGAAAAGTCTCTAATGCATTTTCACTTCCTGTATTTGAATTACCATTTCCAGTACTAGGGTGGAACAGATCAATTCCAAAATGACCTCCTATGTTTCCCCCATCCTCTCTTCCTGTAGGTAGTGGTGGTGCTGCAGCAAGTATTCCAGCTCATCCAGAAAGTCCTCAGCAAATGGTTGAATGATGCACAAGTTGTAGAGGTAATGTTTGTGGCAGGTTAAAAAAACCCTTAACAACTGTTATCCCAGTCAGGCTATCTTGGCCAAGCAGCTGTAGCATAGAGGTAGGCAGTACAGCAATTCCAGATGTCAGTTTTCTGCACCGGGACACTCTCTGAACCACACAGAATACCAAAAATCTGAAATTGGCATAAATCCAATTCTACTTTGGTTAAAAAGGAGTTCTTGAAGTTAAACAGTGCAGAGGGATCCTGCAGTCTGTTTAAAAGAAGAATTGTAATTCCTGGAAGCTTGTAGGAAAGGCAGTTTACATGGTTTGGCTTACAAACCTAACTTTTGAAGCAAGCCTTCAGCGAATAAATCTAGGCTGAAGTCATGATTAATATCCCTTAAGTGGTATAAAGTGCAATAAGTTTCAATTTGACAAGACACCATAATAATGTATATCGGTTTAAAATGCTTATTTGTGTTTATTTTTTAGTGATTGCTTCTTATGTTCTATATTTGTGGTTTGATTTTGCTGATTTTGTGTTGTATTTTTACTGTATTTTTAATATACTGGAAACCGCTTTGGGCCCCTTCGTGGAAGAAAAGCGGGATATAAATAAAGATTTATTATTATTATTATTATTATTATTATTATTATTATTATTATTACTTTGTATTACAAATGTCTGGTTGCTGATGACACGATAAATAAATAAATAAATAAATAAATTACTACTACTACTACAAAAAGGGTGTCTGGAAAGGAACCAAGAAGTCTAGAGTAGTCAGAGGCCACAAAAACAACTTTTGGAGTTTCATCTGGCTCCAGGGTTACACTCTGCACATCCTTCCTATAGTAGCTAACACATTGGACTTGCTGGTCTGATTCCTGGCCTCAAGGTAACTATCAGCAATAGGACAATCAGTTTAAAATTATATGGCCAAGAAAGTTTGACCTCCATGCAAAACACAGATATTGAGCATCTATCTATTCTATTTTTACCAATTAGCAGAAACAAATGCCTCTTTTATTCTAAGCCTAAGTATTTTCATCAGTGAAGGAACTTTTGTACAGTTAAAATCTTTCCCAATGATTATTCACTAATACAGTTTTAAGTTATCTCCGGTATATTAGTAAAAGAGACAGTCTCATTGAGAACTGCTAAGAATGCTATAGTGCAGGTACATCAGTGGGCTCAAATTATTTGAAATTTGTGCTGAAAACAATCTCCCATATCTTTGGTTATAGAGTTAGCCCTTTTTGGTATTGTATTGTCACAGACACTCACTGTTTACTGCAAATAGTGAAGGCCTACAGGAGGAGGAATAATTTAATTCTGCAAGATTGATTGGCAGAGTGTAAAGGTAATGAAATTTGACCTTGGGTCCAGGAGGTGTGGAAAGGAAGATGCAACACCTGTCATTTACTGACCACCGGAAACTGTCCACTGCCATTGCTCCACTATAAATGTTCAACATTTTCTCAAGTGAAAAAAAACAACACTTTAAAAATCTATTCTTAGGAATCTAACACACATGCTAGAAGTGCATTTTCATGTTTCAGTCATGATTTGCCCTATGCATGGAATTAGTGTCCACATCCTTGAGATATCCATAACCATATTCAGACAGGATTAAGGCGCAGTGGGTTAAAGCATTGAGCTGCTGAGCTTGTTGATCGAAAGGTCGCAGGTTCGATTCTGGGGAGTGGCGTGAGCTTCCGCTGTCAGCCCTAGCTTCTGCCAACCTAGCAGTTCGAAAACATGCAAATGTGAGTAGATCAATAGGTACCGCTCCGGCGGGAAGGTAACGGCGCTCCATGCAGTCATGCCGGCCACATGACCTTGGAGGTGTCTATGGACAACGCTGGCTCTTTGGCTTAGAAATGGAGATGAGCACCACACCCCAGAGTCAGACATGACTGGATTTAATGTCAGGGGACTACCTTTACCTTTTTTTACTATTAGTATTGGCTAGTGGGACTACATCCTCAGTTCTTGTGCACTGAGTTGAGACAATTCCAGCATTGGACTGTGGGTGAGAAAATAAGCACACAAAGAATCAGGTATGTTTATCTTGGGTATCAATGGAAAGGATCTGTGTATCTTAATTGTAAACCTAAGCTAATCAATTTATTACTGTTTTAAAGGCTAGAGGTTTTTTTTTGGATAGAGTCCAATTTCTGTTCTGAGAATTCTACTGAGATGAAGGTACAAAAGTGACAACTGTTGAGTGTGTGGGAGACTTCCTATTTGTTTAGAAAGGCAGAAGCAATTGCAGCAGATAGGCTCTGGATTCAGCAGAGGGAGACTCTTACCTGCTGATTTCATGTGCTAATAAGCCATAAGAATGTAAGGAAAATTATGCAGTGGTTATTCATTCTCTCCACAATAATTTTCCTAATAAAATTATTTTTTCATTTTTACCACAAAATGGAATTAGCACATTAGAAGGGATTCTGGGTTCTGTGTAGGTACAATGGTAAATATTTGGCTGAGAACAAGAGCATGAGAGATGTGAGATCCTGTAGGTAGAACTACTTCACACCAAACTAAGTATAAGTTGTTGACATCTCGTTTGGGAAGCAGCATTACTTCCTATGGCTATAAGTGTTAACGGATATTTCACAATAGCAAATTGAAATACAGAGATGTTCGGGATAGGCCATAAAATTTCTGTTAATCAACACAAAGGATACTGGGAAAGCTGATCCTGGAATAGGGCCCTCTTAGATCCAAGTAGAATATGTCTTTAGCAAAGGGACACATTATTAGCCAGTTCTCCCTTGATGCAGGTTTTATTGTCTCCACAGTCTGTGTGCTCCATTTTTGAGAAGTCTGTGAAGACCCTCCTGGATGATTTTGCACCTATGGTGCCTCAACTGTGTGAGATGTTGAGCCAGATGTACAGCACTATTCCTCAAGCATCTGCCATTGATCTCACCCGGCAAGTAAGTTTACATCCAAGATTTTTGATAGATGCTAAAATTAAATTGGAGGCTAATATCTGTTAATCAGTTCACCGCCCTTGATTAGCCACTCCTTCCAATAGGTATGAATGCTCAGAAAATGATCCCCCTTCATTTCTTACACAGATATACCTTGTATGGTTATGTCAACCTTCTCTATCATGTTGCCCTCTTAATATGATTTATTAAAAACCAATCATCCTCAGCATGGCCATTGGCTTATCTGGCCTGGGAAGATGCTAATTGTCATCCAACAACAGGCCAGATGAAAGTAGCGTAAGAGTACCAGGGAGAACACCAGATTGGATAAAGATGGCGTCTGTGTGTATGTACACACCAAACATTTCCAAAACTAATTGGCTCCTATCTCCTTTGGCAGGTTACTAGTAAGAGCTTTGCTGAGATAGATAAGACAGCTAGCTAGGTTTGGCACCAATGACTTCATGTGGGCTTGGGCACTAAGAATGTGGGGTATAATTGGGCATACCAGATTTCTCTGGCTTCAGTTTTCCTTCTCTCTTATATATCCTCAGCTGGTTCACATCTTTGCCCACGAGCCTGCCCACTTCCCGCCCATCAAGGCACTCTTTCTGGTCGTCACATCAGTTACACTAACCCTCTTTCAGCAAGGTACGTGTGCTGGGCTCCCTCGGTTTTGTGGGGCTGCCATATTGGGAATGGCTCTACCTATTGACAGCTCTGTGGATTGGCCTGTAGAGTGTGTGCGGGTAGGCAGACACGCCTCTGATTGTGGCAGTGGCTGTTGAGTTGTGAAAACCATTACCCTTTTTCACATTATGGTATTAACTAGTGAGACAGACTCTCCTGCTGAGGTAGTCTACTTGACATGCTCTTCCCTAAGTCTCAGGGCTTGCGTAGGCACTAAGGCTGTCACTTGTCTAATTATATCCCCTTTGGAGTTACACTCTTTTCCTGTCAGACCCTCAGTTTCAAGACCTAAAGGCAAGTGAAGTGAGTAATCTACTTCACTTAATGCTTGGCTTTGAGTAAAGAGAAAGAAGCACTCGATGTTACATTTCTGTTCTGCTTAAAAGAGCACACACACACACACACACCCTGCCCAAGTGCTTGATGTGAAATCACCTGTCTCTACCAGTTTTTTTTTCTTGTACCCTGTATACATTATTTGCACTACCCACCTTCCCCTGATTTCTCTTCAGATTATTCCTTTTGGAACTTCTGAGTTCCCAGCAAGTATTTGAGCTTTCCTTTATTTCTATATATCTGCCATACTTCCAACACGTTGATCCCAGTTAAGCGGGAAAGCTTTGGATATATGTAGTTCCAGCCAAATCAGTATGCTATAGCAAGGGTAGTAGCGTGTTTGCTCCCTTTTCTGGGTGCTTTGTTGTATTTTGAATTGCTGGGGAGTTTTCAATGGCTTGAAGTGATGCCCCTGTTGCTACCTGGCTATGTTGAGCTGAAGCATTAACAAAGAGGAAGAAGATCCTGACAGTGCCAGATGAAATCACTGCGGAAGGGGAAGTGTGGTTACTAAGTACCACCAATTGTGTTTTGCTCAACCAGAGAGGCATCTGGTTGTGCATGAAATAAAAAAAATACCATGTTGTTACTGCCCAAGAGGAACTATAGTAACATTTCAGCATATTTTGGCCATGCCACTTCACTACTGGATTTGTTATCTGAGTGGAACCATCTTTCAGGACCAAGCATTTAAGGATAACATGTGCCCTGTGCAAATGTGCTAGTTCTCCAAATGAGACTGGTGTCTGGTTAGCTCCTGCTTCTCCTCCACCCCTGCTAGGGTGCAATGAACTCTCCCTTCCCATCCTTGGTGCTTGGCAGGGGACTCCGGGCAACAGGCCTATTCCTTTGCACTTTCTTTATGTTCTTGGGTTTCCAAGCTCCATGATTTTGTATGTTTTGTTTCTTTAACTTGCTTCAAGCTGCTCATGCGCCTGCTCTCCTCAACCCACCCCCCGGCACCCTCCTTCCCTTCCCTTACTCCTGTTTTCACTTGTAAATTATTTCTGTATCACATAACTATATGATGTTGAGTTGCTGTTTGTATGATTTTTCTCTTCAGTTACATCTTTATTATATTTTTAGGGCCCAGGGATCATCCTGATATTGTTGATTCATTTATGCAACTCCTGGCACAGGTGTGTTTTAGTTTCTTATTCATTCACTTTCTGTTCTCTCTCTTTCTCTTTTTTAATTCAATTTAAACCTATTTTTAGCTTTCTGTTGACAACGTTTTTCCTTTTAGTTGAATATCGAGTTTCTCCATCTGTTTCCGTGGAAGTTGAAAACAAAACATTCTCCCTTTTCATAGGTGTTAGTTTGTCCCTTCTGCTCCCTGGGGGACGGTGCTTAGTGATATAACAAGGCTTGTAGGCTGGGTTTCTCTTTTGAGTCCACTGCAAAATGGCAAATGCGGTTCAAGAGCCATAGTGGGTAGCATTCAAGTCCTGGTATAAATGTGTATGTTTCTCTACAGTGATTCTGAGCTCTACACAAATGCAGATGCATCCAGTCTTTGCTTGCTTGGTGAGAGTGGTGTTCAGTTACATGGTGGTTTGCCTCTAAGCTCCTGGAAGGAGCATCTGATAATATGGAAGTAACCTTAAGGCAGGGATAAGAGATGAATCTTGGTTTTTTGACCTATTTAATCTAAAAACCTTTCTGTCCTCCATTGTTTACCATTCCTCTTGAGGCTTTTTAGGATTGCTTTCTTTCAGATTATGAATCATGTACACACCCCATCTCTAATGGTGCAGTGACGTCATGCATAGGGCAGGACAATGATGATGGAATACAAACTGCATAGGGGCTAAAACCTAAATGAAAGATGAACCCGTACTGTATTTGGATGGGAAATACCTAGATTGGAAATAAGCAGCAGTCCTAGAAGGGGGTAGAATTGATAGGGGAAGGATTTTGGTATGTCTTTTTGGCTTTGCCTTATCATTGCTTAACGGGTTTTCTATTAAACCACAATATGGGAAAGTGTCTGTGCCCTTAGCTCCCCCTTGCGGTGGTTTATGCTGCTTGCAAATCTGGCAAGCAGTAGTATTAATCCATCTCAAATTTCTCTTCAGTAGAACCTTCAGCAAATTTTGAAATTTACTGCCAGTACTCTAATTACAGCTAAGTAGTGCCCTTTTCAATGTTTGTTTTTGTTTTGTCATCTGGTTAAGAAACTGGCTGCTAATGTATTGTTAAATGTCAAAAATGAAATTGGCTGAAACTGTGTAGGTGTATTTTGATGATAGATCAATAAAACTTGAGAGTTGTAAGTGGGAAAAAAAACTTCAAGCTGAGGAGGCAATAAGAGGATAGGGACTGGAACAAGCAAGCACAGGCCTTTTTGATCACTGCTACCCATTTGTTAACAACATAACAGCAGATCAGCCTCCTTACATTTAGAGGGGAACAACTTGGGCCCCTGTCCTCTGATCACCTCCATCCGTAGTGGTTATTCTAACTATGCATAAATGGAGCTTTGAAAGTTGTGTATCAGTATATTCAGTACAATGCTGTTAATATCTCTCTATTTGCTTTATATAGATGCATATATCTTTCCTACCACCCTTCTCATGCTTTCCTCTTGACTGAATGAGAAGTTCTTTTGGTCATAAATAGTTTATGAGAAGTTTTGGTTAAACCAGGCAGGAGCAATTTTCGGCCTTCCAGGTGTTTTGACTTCAGGCCCTTAAGCAGCTGGGGGAAAAAGGAAGGAGCCTGAGGCTATTAGGAATTGTGAGAGTTGGAGTCCAAAACACCTGGAGGGCCGAAGTTTGTTCATGCCTGGGTTAGACATTGACTGAGTTTGTCCAATTTAGCTACTCTGAGCTGCATGCTGATTTCTTCTAACTTTGCTTAGGAGACATGAAAACTAGGAGCCTGAAGATACTATACTATACAACTTGGGCCACTGGAGTTCATATTGATGTTAAATAAGAACATTGATGACATTGTCACATATGAATAATATCTGTCAACAAAATACAAGAATTTTTGGAAAAAATATTCTAAGACAAAATATTAGTTTCAGCTTTGTCACGTTCTGACATTACTTTCTCAAATTGTAAATTTCAGTCCCTGTTGGTACCTTTCCTTCATCCCTGTCTACTGAAAAACTTTTAGGTCCTCACTACTGGCCAAGTAAAAGTTGAATGCATGCATTCCCATGGTCTGAATCAGTATAAGAAGTACTAGTACAGTACAGACAATACAAAGGTCTGCCTCAAGTGACTAGTGCTCATTGGTATCCCAAAGGACGTGGCCTCCCAACTCACCCACTGCTTTGTTGATATCATCTTTTCTGTCTTTTCCTTAAGATAGGTAGACAGATTCCTTCACAGAACTGATTTAATAGGCGCACACTAGCTGCTCACTTACTGGCTGGCCAAGATTGCAGTTTTAGATTGCATGTGAAACTCACGTTGAGTTTTATTTATGGCTTCCTGGAGTATGAAGCAACCAACAGGGCAGGGCAGGACCTTACTTATGTAGGTAGGTTCTTTCCAAAATAGTTCTAATAAAGAAGGAGATTTTGCAAAAGGCCACATTGCTCTCAAGAAGGAATCTGAGGGACCTTCAGGAAATTGTCAAGAAAATATGTGTCAAACAGTATGTTTTTGTGCCCCTGAAGAAGCTGAATTATTTATATCTCTTGTATTGGTTGCAAGCCTTGGCCACCTTTAAAAACAAATTTACAGTTGAATGTGGGCATCAATTTGTATGGCAAGTAGCAACTAATGTGTGCCCATGATTCCCCATCTAACAATCCTTTTGTTCATTAATTTGGTTTAAAATCAAATCAAAACATTGAATAGTTTCTAAATTTATATACCATTGGCAGAGCCGCCAGGCAGTTTATAATAACAAGATACAATTTATTTAATTCAAAAACAACACCAAGGTCATGAATATGTTTTCAGAAAGTCACCAAAGAAATCAGAAGCTAAAAATATTTATCCTGCTTTGCTGAACATATTTAGGTTGTGCACCTCAATGTAGCAAGGACACAGCAGATTTCTTAGAAAGAGAATTATAATGGGTGAGTGACACTACTGAAATAACCTTTCTGCTGTTGATCATCAGTCTGCTTTCTCTTGTCTGTGGCATTTTGAACAGAGATTCCTCTGATCTAAACAAATAAAGAAGAAGAATGTGGAAGAGGAAGTTCATGATGAGGAAAATTTTACTAAGTCTAACCTCCCTTGAAGTCAGCCTTAACTTGGGAAAATTTTCAGGTTAATATCTGTTTAACTGTTTGTTTTTATAGGTTTTATTTCCTGCCCTCGTGAAGTCTTAAGGCAGCAAATAGATAAAACAATATAAAAAATTTCAACAATTCCAAATTAAAATCAAGAAATAATTTAAATAAGATAAAAAATATGTTAAACATTGAAACAAGTTAAAAGATTTTTTTAATTACTGTACAAGAGTTAAAACCATGTTCATGCTTAAAAATAAATTAGTCCCCAGGGACCTTAATAAATAATAAAAACATGTCTTGACTTGGGACCAATTGAAGCCAACATTGGTGCCAGTTGGGCTTTTAAGAGGCGGACATTCCACAAGTGAATTGAGTTAATGGCTCCTTTGAAAGTGGAAAAAGCACATATATATCTGGATGAGAAATGGGTACTGCAGCTGAGTTCCTGGGAGGAGGGGTTACCCACTGTAGTCCCGGAGGGAAGAGGAGGTGGATGAGGCCTAGGGCACCACTTTATTTACTCAGCTCCTTTTCCTCTTCTTGTTTGTCGTGCATGTCTGTTTTGCTTGGGCAAAGGAAGGGAGGTACTGGGCAAAAAAACACACAGCAAGTGGAAGAGGTACAGGCACTGTCCACAGTGCAACATATCCTGTAGATCCTGGCTCCTTTTCCTCATTCCCTGTGCCATGTAATTCTGACATTCGCCATCCAAGGATTGATACTTTCCCTGTTCCTGGCCTCAGAAACTGCTAATTCACAAAACTGCCATCTTAGCAGGATTTGGTTTCTGTTAATTGACTCTCATCCATCCAGGTTTTGATTCAGCTGACTTCAACAGCAAGAAGAAATAGAGTTAATGTCATCAGCAACTCCATCCAAATAATTGTCTTCCCTTATGACTGCAGATAGATCTTAAATAACATGGCAGCATAACTAATTTCCCCTCTCTTATGCAAACAACTTAGTAAGATGACCCAGGTAATGTTAACGAGATAGGTCTGTTACCATAGGGAAGCAATCTCCCCTTAGACTCGTAGAGTGAAATCTGAGTTCAGAAGGAAGATTCCTTGCAGCATCAGAATATGACATGTGCTTTTGGCCACTGAAATGTTCAAGTAACAGTCCTCACAGAAATATCAGGTTGCTCAAATGAGGAGATCATTGGGAATGCCACAAAGATGTTTTCCCAGTCAAGTAAGTGGAATTACAGATATATAAATTATCCTGAACTGATATAGTCCCCATATCAGTTCAATTTTTTAAAAAAAATTGCCTTAAGCCTAAACATTTCTGATGCTCTTCTTGCCTTGACATTCCTTTAATTAATTTCACCTCTACCACCAGCCTGCGCAAACTCATTGTTTCAACAAGCAAAGGAGAGAGGCTTAGCTCTTTAATTTCTGAATTTTCAGGTAGATTGGGGAGGAAGTGTGTCAGCCAACTTGTACTTCTCTACTGTACTTGTCCTTACTCTCTCTTTCTCGGTTGCATAGCGCAAAAATCTGTTATATGCTATGCATAGCAATTAGAGTTTCTGTAATACATTTCACTCCTCTAATAAGCACATCTTTTTGTGTCAATATATATGTGTGTGTGTTTGATTATGTATAAAATGCATTTATTTAAAAAGACATACTCAACGAATGGCAAAAACAACAACAACAACAACAACAAAAACTTATTTATATTCCACTCTATCCCCCCGGAGGGACTCAGGATGGATTTAAAACATAAAAGGCAAACATTCAATGCCCAAATACAACAACAATACATCCATACTAAAAAAAATCAAACAACCCAACATATAAATATGAATTATGACTTAACAACTAAAATTAAATAAAAAAAACACAACCTGTTATGACAGAAATAAGACAAAACATGGAATGAAAATAATAATTTCCCAGTTCCTTGGGGCAAATTGATTAATCATTGCTCAAGATATCTGATTAGCTGGTGGGGAGAGCAGAGCACAGATACAGATGGCAACTATTAATCAGAGGTATAATGGTAGTATTACCAACTACTATTCCTCCTCCTTGTAAGTCAGTGAGCAAAGGTATGTCTTCAGCTGTTTCTTGAAAGCGGGGAGGGAGGGGGCCATCTTTAACTCCTTAGGAAGGGAGTTCCAGAGGTGGGGGGCAGCCACAGAGAAGGCCCTTTCTCTTGTTCCCACCAGCCGTGCTTGGGACGGGGTCGAACTGAGAGGAGGACCTCCTCCGATGACCGCAGTGTCCAATTTGGTCTATAGAGAGAGATGTGGTTTGTCAAATAGTCTGGACATGGGCTATTGAGGGCTTAAAAGGTAAGAACCAGTACTTTGTATTTAGCTCAGAAGCAGACTGGCAGCCAGTGAAGCTGCCACAGCATGGCAGTGGTTCTCTCCCTGAACGGCCCTCCAGTTAGAGACATGGCTGCCAATCTCTGGACCATTTGAAGCTTATGAACTATCTTCAAAGGCAGCCCCACGTAGAAAGTGTTGCAGTAGTCCAAATGGGATGTGATTAAGGTGTGAACTACCATGGCTAAGTCAGGCATCTCAAGGTATGGGCACAGCTGGCACACAAGATTTAACTGTTCAAAGGCACTCCTGGCCACCGCTGACACCTGGGGTTCCAGGGTCAGTGATGAGTCCAGGATCACCCCCAGACTGCAGACCAGCGTCTTCAGGGGAAGTGCGACCTCATACAACACAGGCTGTAATCCCACACCCTGATCTGCCTTACAGCTGACCAGGAGTACTGTACCTCTGTCTTGTTTGGATTTAGTTTCAGCTTGTTGGCCCTCATCCAGTCCATTACTGATGATGTTCAGGACCAGAATGGCATCCTTGGCATTAGGTGGAAAGGAGTAATAGAGTTGGGTGTCATCCACAGAAATTGTGTCAACTGCCCTGGCCATCTCCGTATTCCAGAAGTCTGCCAGGACTTTGACAGAATCACCTACCAAAGAGGGAGGAAAATCCCCAAGAGCCATCAGGAATCCATCTGGATCCATAAGCCTCCTTGTGCAGACCTTGGTAATACGTCCTCCACCCATGCAGAGCCCCAGTGAGTCTAAACCTGACTAGGTAGGGATTGGTCCATGACAAAGAACGGTGGACAGTTCCTCCACAATAGAATCACCATCATCCTGCTCCAAACAGAAGACCAGATCTCATGTGTGTCCACTATGGGTGGGGCCAGATACCATTTGGGACAGACCCATGGTTGTTAGGGTGGCCATGAAGTCCTGTGCCACTCCTGACAGGGTGGTCTCGGCATGGATGCTGAAGCCTCCTAGCACAATTAGACATTGGGACTACAACACCAGGCCTGAGACCACCCCAGCTAGCTCAGGCAGGGAGACTGTTGAGCAGCGGGGTGGACAGTACACCAACAGAAGCCCTGTTCTGTCTTGGCCATTCACCCTTAGATAGACACATTCAAATGTGGTCAACTGTGGAACAGGACACCTAGTCAGGTGGATAGAATCTTTATAGACCACTACAACTCCTCCTCCCCACCCCCAGGTCTAGCCTACTGCTGCACACTGAAACCTGGTGGACAGAGTTGAGAGAGATTTACTCCCCCTCCTTCGTCCAACCAGGTCTCAGTAATGCAAGCCAGAGCAGCATGTTCTTTTAGAATTAAATTAAATCAGTAAATGGATGTCTTTCCATTTACTGACCTGGCATTAAGCAGTGGGACTTTCAACCCGAGGGGCCTGCCTTCTTGGTTACCCAGATTATTTGGAAGGGGAGGTGGGTGAGGAGCCACGAGGTATCTCATACACTCCCTGGGCCGCCTCTTCTTCCTGCATCTCCCATAACTTTGGAGCACAGGGATGATGTTTCCCCCATCCCATGGAACTCCCTCCTGCCCCTGCATTATGCCTCACCTATTAACAAAAGCTATAATAGGAAATATTAGGCAGAAATGATTTTTAATACAGTAAAGTTTGGAAGCATCACTAATATAAAAAATATAAATTCTGCACGTTAGTACAGGTGGATTTTGAGCAAAGGAAATCATTAGAAAAGTTAAAACTAGGTTTGTTGTCTGTCCTTTAGCATTACATAGTGAGAGGGGGCATAGTTATTTGATTTTTCTGGTTGTGAAGAGAATAAATGAGGAGAGAATAGGTGAGGCAAAGCTATTGAAGCCAGTAATTGAAACAACAGAGCTAGCTGCAAGTATAATGTGGTGCCGTCTCCGGACTTAATACACTTCATTACTTTGGGGGTGGGGGGAGAGGGGGTGTACAAATTGGTGAGAAGAGTCCTTGTTAAGTCATATGTTTAGAATTCCTTGATGAAGCAGATACCTCTCTCCTTCAGGGATGAGACGACAGTAGGGACTGCTATCCACAGTACTGAACAGGCTAAATGTGTAAAGTTCTTTCCCGTACTTGCTGTCTATGGTGCTGAAATATGCTGTTAGGAAGAAATATTTCTAAAAGCCAATAAACTACCAGTGATATGTCTTAACGAAGATTATTTTGCTAGGCTGTTCTACTTCCTCTGTAGTTTGGAGTTCCCCCACATCTCTGCTTATCTTCATTTGTAGTAAAATAGAAATCCTAAGAGGCTTTCTAGGTAAGGCTTCAATTATGTTGTCTCTTCAGAGGGCCCTAATTACATGGAACTCTATAGACCCTTCATTTCAGAAGTGCCAGCTTATATACTCTGCCTTTCTTTATCTTATTGTACACCATGGCTGTTGGCCAGGTAAGTGCGTACATAGGCCATGGCCAGGGGGTACCCTGTGGCACTAGCTTGCCCTTGGTTTGCCAGAGCTGTGTTTATTCTCTGTGTATATATGTGTACCTTGCAGGCACTCAAACGGAAACCAGACTTGTTCCTGTGTAGCAGCCTGGATGTCAAAGCAGTTTTCCACTGTGGTAAGTCGGCAAACACTATAAAAGAGAGCTCCCCAACAGCTCCACACCTGTGTAGGGATAGATTATTTACTCAAAAGGGTTTGTGCTTCTTAGAGATTCAGCCCAATGCAAGAAGTGGAGTCAAGACCACATTTTTTTGCTATGTAAATATCTCCAAACTCAGACAGGCTAAAGCTCTAGATAAAACCTATGTGTTGCAGAGGAGATTTTTCCTCCCAATCCATGAAGAAAGTATGGAGTTGTACTAGTTGAGTCTTGAATTGTTCTTTTCTGTCTAGGTGTGATCTCTCTGAAGTTCCCTGAGGCCCCAACAGTCAAAGCTGCCTGTGGCTTTTTTGTGAGTATCTGTTTGTTAGCTGATGGCGCAGGCAGAGCTGTGTTTAGAAAAAGTGACTTGGAAGCAATTGTTCTAGGACAGGACCATTTAAAACTGGGGGAGACTTCCACTTGTGAGGCTATGGTGTGAGGATTGGAAACCAAGGGACTGTCTTCTCCCATTTTTATGTTCTGCTATTCTGTTGTGTTGTATGTACAGCAAGGATCAGCCTCCCATCTAAAATAGTATTTCTCTTTTCGAAAGAAACAGAACGTTTCCAGTACCTCTTTCTAACCACTTGTTTGTTGCAGACTGAGTTGTTGCCACGCTGTGGGGAGATTCCACCTGTGGGACAAGTCGTACATGAGAATGGCAAAATGTTGCTGCAAGCTGTCCTTGAGGTAGGGAGTGAGGATTTTTCATTATATAGCTGGAAATAATGATGGATTTACTTGTCCCGCTGAGTTTCATTCAAGGATTTGCCACCTGATATTTTGCAGTTTGCTACAATTATTATTATTATTATTATTATTATTATTATTATTATTATTTGTATCCCACCCCATCTCCTGAAAGGACTTGGGGCGGCTCACAACATAAGTAAAAACAATAAACAATATGCACAAATAAATGACAAGTTAATAAAGGAAGAAAACAAAATAAAACAAAATGCACAGATTAAACAGTAAACAATAAACACTTTAGTTAAAAACATTAAAAACGCAGTGGTCCCAATAGATCAAACAAACTAGATAAAAGCCAAAGTACCCAAATATATCCATAAAACAAAGACCTCTTCCACATTAAGGGGATATTACTAATCATTTTCAAAGGCCTGCTTAAGTAGCCAGGTCTTTAAGTCATGAGGGTAGCTGCTTGTCTGATTTCTTTGGAGAGGGCATTGCAGAGCCGGGGGGGCCATTATTGAGAAGGCTCTCTCCCTCATTCCCACCAAGGGAGCATCACTTGTAATGGAGGCAGGACTGAAAAGAGGGCCTCCCCAGTCGATCTTAAAGCTCAAGCATTCACTGAAACCCTTAATTAGACCCATGGTTCTTACCGATAGAGCCATTCTAGCCTTATAGCGTGAAGTTCCCTCCTTGTTTGTAATTTCTGGAAGAACTAACTGGATTTGCATCATTCCTGCAGGGTGTAGGAGGCCAAGCTTCACGGAATTTGATGGATCACTTTGCTGAGATTCTCTTTGCCCTCAACAAACATTGCTTCAGCTACTTGAGTGTGTGGATCAAGGAAGTGATGCAACAAGATGGTTTTCCATCGGCTCGTGTCAGCCCTGAGCAGAAGGAGATCTTCAGCCAGCAAATTCTTAGGTGTGTTCCCTCTTGGTGTCTTTTCTGAGAGAGAATTGGGGAAGATATGTGATACGGTTCTCCAGTTAATGAATGTTTCTCTATGCTCTGAAGTTGGTAGGAGGGAACTGTTAAGGTTAACTCCAAACATTTTAGGGGTTCTCGGTAGTCCTGCTCCAGTTTCCTATGCTTAAAAGAGATTGCTTAAAGCCCAAGATTCTTGAAAGACTATGTTAGTTCTATACAACCAAGGAGTTTAGAGATTATTAATGTATGTCACCCTAATATTGAATAAGAAAATGGTAGTGACATTTTGGGGGATCAAAAGAAAACCAAACAAAAAAACTACTACTACAGAAAATGTTAAAAATGTAAGAGAATAAAAGTAAATGTAATTTATAGACAGGCATTTGGGGTTATTTATGTTGATGTTCTTAAATTTTGCCTGTATGCACCTAAAAAAGACTTGTGTTACCCACTGCAGTATACTTCTTTTCTTGATTGCCTATAGAATTTGCTCAGTCAATCATCTTTCTTGGATATTTTTTTACCTAAATTGCCCTGCTTTACTACACGCTAGTTTATCTTCTCCCTACAGTTGGAAACTTCTTTTAACTTGATTCAGGTGATCTAAGTAATAGCTCCACTTCTAATGCAGGCATTTACTTATCTAAACTACCAAAAAAGGCTGCAAGATGAGGCCTACTAGATGATTGTAGTAATTTATAGGTTCAAATTAATTCTTGATCAGTTATCACTTGGAAGACTGAAGGACATGGACAATAAATGTTCTCTCAGTTATGGTTATAGTATTTTTTTTTTAAAAAAAAATTATATCAGTCACCTGTGGCATGCGTGCAATGTACATCTCTTTGTGCTTGGATCTTCATGGCGATGAAATTGCCCAATGCCTTTATTTGGATGCATTTGGGCCAAATGAGTTATCTCTTTATTTTCTTCTTGACAGTAGGTGTTGCTTTATTGTAAATAATGCTGCTGTCATTTTCAACTGCTATGGATGCCTACAGATAAAAACATCTCAGAATAGGTGGTAGTGGTGGTAATGGCAACAAGTAGAAGCATTGGAAAGTGGATGTCTGCATAATTGTAGCCTACTGCTAGTTATTCCTTTTTGTTTTCTACTATGTCTTTGCTGTCGGTTTTTCACTGTCTTTCCTTTGTGTTAGCAGAGAACGTGTGAACAAGCGACGTGTGAAAGAGATGGTTAAGGAATTCACACTTCTTTGTCGGGGACTACATGGTACTGAATACACAGCAGACTATTGATGGGGCTATGAAGCAAAAAACTGTAGCATGAACAGGTCTGATGACTACCTGTCACTGCCCTATGCTGCTACTGAACCAGGACAATAACTCTTCAACTAACCTGCTGAGGTTGCTCCTATCCAGATGGGCTGCTTGTCCATCCCTCCTGCATGTTCAGAGGCAGCAGGCTGCAAGGACTTGGAGCAGAAGCTGGAGCCGAGGACAGCCCCTCCCTACACTGGGCTGGTGCAATGACTAGCCCTTGCCTCCCTGGCACCCTCCTGTAGACAAATGTCTGGTATTATCTGTTCCTAAAGAGTCTGCCCTTGCCCTGCATGTGGCAGCTTGTGTCTGATGGAAGTGGAAGGCCCTGCAGCCTTGAATTATATTAAGACTGTTTCTAAGTTGTGATCTTCAGTGAATTGTGGAGGGTGGGGTGGATTAATCTGGGAATGGAGGAGAGCTAAAGTGTTGGGTCTGGCAATTATACTTTCATTTGCCCTAACCAAAGTGGGTAATAAACAACTATCTATCACATCCAAAAGACATCCAGTTTCTGCAGTAAGGTATGAGAAGGAGCATTTTCTGAGAAACAAATGTTTCTAGAGGAACATCCTGGAAATATCATATGTAACTTGTCCCTTCAAAGCTGTGAAGAAGTGAACAATAGCTGCTAGACTCACTGCGAAAGATCAAAAAGTCCTGGTGCCTTTTCTTCCTGAGGCTTAAGATGCCATAATAGATTTGGGGATGTGGTGGCTGTTGTGGTTGAGGTGGGGTCAGGAGGGACTAGGAAGAGGAAGGAATTATTTTCATATGGAGACAGCTGATGTCACAGGATTGGAGGCTGATGGAGTGGAGCCATTCTGCAATTCATACCCACTCTAGGTGCAGTCTCTCTCCCTTCAGTCCCTGGATGTAGTTATTTAGCTTCCATAAAAGTAGGAGCTGAAGCTTACTACTTTACTTTTCCATTTGCCTTACTCTTGCATAAAACCTTAGTATGAGGTGAACTCTTTAAGTATTTCTGCTTAATGAAAACAATCCAAATTCAGCACTATACTATTTGAAAAACAACCTTTAGATGATAACCTGGCAAGATCACTGAGGCAGAAATAAACTTGATCTGGAGTTTATTTCCAAGAGAAGCACATGCTGTTTTGAGAAGGATCATAAAAAGGTGAAACAGCTATATCTAGAAAATTAGCATGCTAAACATGCAGAGTACTCTCATAGAATCATAGAGTTGGAAGAGACCTCATGGGCTATCCAGTCCAACCCCCTGCCAAGAAGCAGAAAAATTGCATTCAAAGCACTCCCGACAGATGGCCATCCAGCCTCTGTTTAAAAGCTTCCAAAGAAGGAGCCTCCACCACACTCCGGGGCAGAGAGTTCTCCATTTTTCCTGAAGCTCTTCTAACAAACAATAAACTGGAGGATGGAAGAGCTCCTCCAGTAGCTAACAGGACATCCATATGTTATAGTGCTGAACCTATTCCAAAGGTCTCAGTATGCCCATGATTAGGTGAATGATAGCAAAGTTGGGAAGATTGAATACCTTGAACCATAATGAAACTTTCACAGTGATGTGGGGAAGGCAAATATTTGAATGTAATAGGAAACAGTAGAACCCTCTTATTGTTTATTATGCTCATAATATTCTTTTCTACTGGGGTTCAAAGACAACACAGAAAAAGCCAGGGGTGTGGCTATGTTGTGTGTTGGGGCTCACATGGTCTCAAGGGGAGCCAAGACCATATTTTCCTATAAGTAAAACTAAAGCCTTGAGTCTTTCAAAGATATGGCCAACAAAACGGAGTTGCGGCACACAGCTGAACTGAGAAGGAATACAAGTCAAGGTCAAGAGTCCAATTATTGCAGACAAGTCAGTTCAGGAGCAAAAATAAACAACTGCTAAAGTTATAGTCCACTAGTCAGATGCTAGGAGTTCACTTATCAGTCTCTTAGAATAACATTCAAGAATTAAAGAGTCAGAGTTCCGATCAAGCAAGATCGTCAAGGGGTTCAACACAAAGAATCTTGCTCTGTTGGAGACCTGCTCCAGAAGCAGACAAGACAGGCCAGTTTTTATTTGTGGGGCAGAGTTCTTATTGAAGGACAATGCCCTCACTCTCTCACATATACACACCATGTCTACACTGTCGAATAAGCTATGAATTACGTAATATTGCCTTCTAGGTGTGGTGGAGCATAGTAGTAGTAGTAGTAGTAGTAGTAGTAGTAGTAATAATAATAATAATCTTTATTTATACCCCGCCACCATCTCCCCAACGGGGCCTTGGGGCGGCTTACATGAGGCCAAGTCCAGATAACATTATTACAGTAAAATAAACCAAAAACATAAGCAATCACTTCTATTTTTTCAACTGGTTTTAAGATTTGTGTCCTGGATTTTCCAGGACATTTCCTTGTGGAAAACACTTTGACACTCTATGTACTACTGCTTTCGTATTCACTCCTAGAAGTTCTTGTCTTCTTTTCAAGAGATAGGATAAGATTTAAACAAGCCACATGTGCTTCATGCAATAAGATACTCATATAGGTTGAGACTGCATCTACATTTAATATGTATTAATGCTGCTGTTTGAACACTGATACCTATGCCTGTGCATGTACTGATAAGAGCCTTAAGTACTGAGCTTGCACTAAATACAGCAGTGGCAAAGTATAAGTAATGCAAAGTTTTGGAAGGGATGAAGAAATGAAGCTACAGTATGTAGCAAAATTCAACATAACCATTTCATCTATCTGGAAGCTAATCTTCAATGCGTTCTTGTGGTTTGTCATTAGCATCATTTGGTTATATCGTTTGCCACACCTCATTTTTTTTGCTAAAATATAAAAAAGATAACTTGAACTAATGTTAAGGCATTAAAAAGAAATCTTGAGGTATTAAGAAGCACAGGAAATGGTGTCCACATAGTTGCACATGAATATGTTGTCATTTACATGAGAATTCCAGAATCGGCCGTCAAAGTTTGCTGTCTGGTGACCTCTTGCTCTTTATTGACTATATGTGAAGGGCCAAAATGGTTATGTTGTACTGAATCCAACTACTCATGAAATGGGTAACTGTAATATATACTCCAACTTCACCTCAACTGGTAATTTCTAGATTGGCCTTCACCACAGGATGCCACAGTGAAGCAGCAGCAGATGAGAAATGGCATAAGGTTAGTAGTTTTTTATTGATACCAGATACAACCTGGCATGGGTCTTGATAAAGAGAATTGCTTCTCATAACAGGTATGTATCCCACATCACTCTATTTACAACTGCAAAGAAAAGGAAGCAGCAGCACATGCTCTTTGACTATCTGCCAGGAGATACTTCTATAGTCCATCCTTCCAGCATTTGTACTGGATTATTTTATAGTGCTGCATTGTCTCTAGAAATTCCCATCCACCCTTTGTAAAAACTCGTCATTTACCCCAAAGAAAAATACCTTTCCTTCCTTGTTGCTATGTACCAGATGTGTTTGCACTCCTATATTCAGATTCATGGCCACACTGAAAGCATAGATATTTTGGGATATTTTGTGCAAAGCATACAGTAGAATTATGGTGGCAAAACAGTCATGCACACTCACAGCACTCAGTGTCATAGAATCATAGACTTGGAAGAGACCTCGTGGGCCATCCAGTCCAACCTCCTGCCAAGAAGCAGGAAAACCGCATTCAAAGCACCCCCAACAGGTGGCCCTCCAGCCTTTGTTTAAAAGCTTCCAAAGAAAAAGCCTCCACCACACTCCGGGGCAGAGAGTTCCACTGCTGAACAGCTCTCACAGTTTGTAAGTTCTTCCTCATTTTCAGATGGAATCTCCTTTCCTGTAATTTGAAGCCATTGTCCCGCATCCTAGTTTCCAGGGCAGCAAACAAACAAACAAACAAACAAAAAACCAGCTTGCTCCCTCCTCTCTATGACTTCCCCTCACATATTTATACATGGCCATCATATCTTATCTCAGCCTTCTCTTCTTCAGGCTAAACATGCCCAGCTCTCCAAGCCACTCTTCATGGGCTTATTCTCCAGACCCTTGATAATTTTAGTTGCCCTCTCCTGGACACATTCCAGTTTCTCAACATTTCCCTTCAATTGCAGTGCTCAGAATTGGACACAGTTTTCCAGGTGTTTTCTGACCAAAGCAGAATATAGAGAATGACATCCCTGGATCTAGACACTAGACTCCTATTGATGCAGGCCAAAATCCCATTGGCTTTTTTTGCTGCCGCATGACATTGTTGGCTCATTAAATTTAACTTGTCCATGAGGACTCCTAAGATCTTTTTCACATGTACTGCTGTTGAGGCAGGCATCCCCATTCTGTATCTCTGCATTTCATTTTTTTCTGCCTAAGTGGAGTATCTCACATTTGTCACTGTTGAACATTGAATTAGTTTTGGCCCATCTCTCTAGAAATGGTCTAGAGACTGTACTACTTTGTGACAATGCTGATATAGTTGATAACAGCATATGGTTGGGAGTTTCTCAAAGCCTTCTCATAGTTATGCTTGATTTCTTGCACAGAAAGCCATTTTAGCTAGTTTGATACAATAAAGGAAAACATAACACTGAGTCTGCAAGGCCTAAATGGGACTGTTCATGATCGGGAGTCTTGGAAGTAAGTTGAAACTGACCTGATGACCAATAACAAACATGAAAAGGAACTATCAAGACTTCATCATAATGATGTATTAGTGGAAAGCAGAATTACTTGTGAGAGGAAGTAAAATAGGGAGAACGTGGCCATGTGGCCCGAAAAACCTACAACAGCCCAGTGATTCCAGCCATGAAAGCCTTCAATAATACATTAAACTAGGGAGAGTTCTATGCAGGCATTTGCATACACAAACACATTTCTTTTTAGTGTTAAACTTTGTGGGGAGTGCTAACACTAGCTAAATTGAGGTGGCAGAGAAAAAAAGTGAAGAGGTGTTAGTATATTCAGTGGCATTCGTAAGGTTCACAAAAATCATTTTTTAAAGTGGGCAAAATCCTCTCAAAACAGCCCAATGAGGATTGAGCACATTCAGCATCCACAGTAACACTGTGAATTGGGGGGGGGGGGGGGTAATAGCATAAAAATGTGTGACAGAGAATAGAATGCGCTAATGTTTCAGACGAAAATGTGGTTGGATGAACCCTAAACCTAATTACATTTGCACAAATATATTTGCTGAAATCTAATAATAAAATGCAGATATAGTTTAGAGCTTTAAATGCTATTTATTTATTTATTTATTTATTTATTTATTTACTTTGCTTATATACCGCTGTATCTCAAGCCCGAAGGCGACTCACAGCGGTTCACAAACAGTAGAAACAGTAGAAACAAATTCAAATTGCTATCACAAGCAATTTGAATTCAGACTGGAAACACACTGGCGGCAACTACAATTTTTTAAGACTGGAATTACATACGGTCTATGTAATATTGCAGTCAACATTGTTGCTTCAGTATTTTCAAGGCAAAGAACTATCAGCTTCTTCAAAAATACCAATTTTACTTTAAAAACATGTTTAAAACCTCCCCCTCCCTTAAAGCTTCATCTTGGTCATATTCTCTACACATGGCACCTGCCGCTCCATAGCGGGGACATGAGGGAAGCCTCCCACAAGGATGGTAAAACATCAAAACATCCGGGCGTCCCCTGGGCAACGTCCTTGCAGATGGCCAATTTTCTCATACCAGAAGCAACTTGCAGTTTCTCAAGTCGCTACTGACACTAAAAGAAAAAAAAAACCTGCTGTGGTTTAACAGAAAGGCATCAGCAAAGCTATCCAGAGTCTTCTGTTCGTGTTTTAAAAAACAGAACACCTAAGATTATCTCCAGTTTGGTTAATATAAAGACTTCCTTACTGCCTTTACTTCTGTTTTCTACCAATACAGAGAGCTGTATCCTACTGCAATTAATAAACAACCACTGGCTCTTCACATATTGCTGAACTATAGTTTTCATCAGCCTAGCTAGCCTCATTTATAATAAAGCATGGTGGGAGCTGTTATCCAATCAGGAAGGCCAAAAAAGTATACAAGTTTTTGGGTTGCTGTGAGTTTTCCAGGCTGTATGGCCATGTTCCAGAAGCATTCTCTCCTGATGTTTCACCCACATCTATGGCAGGTATCCTCAGAATGCAAGTTGTATGCAAGTTGTTTTTTCTAAACCAGTGCTTCTTAAACCTTAGCCTTTCAGATGTTTCTAATGATTGTATAATGATTTTAAGTCAAAGTTATATGCAGTAATTAGTTATTCTGATTTATTTATGTTAACTGTATGTTGGCATTGAATTTTTGACATTAATATGTTGTAAATCGCCTTGAGTCCCCCTAGGAGTGAGAAAGGCAGTATATAAATATAGTAAATAAATATTGTCCAAAACTTTCATGGCTGAAATGACTGTGAGGTGTCAGACCTCACAACCTCTGAGGATGCCTGCCATAGATGCAGGTGAAACGTCAGGAGAGACTGCTTCTAGAACATGGCCATACAGCCAAAAAACCTACAACAACCCAGTAAATAAACACATAAATCCCACCCACTATCTAAAGATAGTGGTATAACATAAAACCAACTTAATTTAAAACAGCATAAATAATAAATAAGGATTTTAAAACTTAAAAGTATATTATACAAGTTAACAAGTTAAAAGACAGATTAACCAGTTTAAATTATTAAAGTGATTTAAAACCATGCACATGAAATATTATGACAGCCAATGTGGTGCCATAGTGGACCATGACTCTGGAGACTAGTTTGAATATCTTCTTGGTCATTAAACCCGCTGGCTAACCTTGGGCTAGTCTTAGGAGAAGGCAATAGCAAACCTCTTCTGACCAAATCTTGTTACGAAAACCCTGTCAGTGTTGCCATAAGTTAGGAATAACTTGAAGGCACATATCACTAAAAACAAACATGAAGGACTTAACAGGCCCTGATTGTAGTGAACAACCACATCAGAATAATAGCAACACTATAGCCTCCAAAGATAGGTGCCACAGTAGAGAAAGGCCTCTCCAGATAATATTTAAACATTTGAAGTAAAAAATATAACTAGCTGTCCAAAATGTAAGAGTCAATGCACCTAATGCTTATAGTTTCCAAGATCCAACACCCTCAACTGCTATTCTGGAGACACGTCACTCAAAGAGATTGTTATTAAAAACTGAGAACCTGATGGTGCTGATGCAAGGTACAACTTAACCTACTCCCAGAAAACCAGAGGCACATTCATGATCCCTTATCCCAGTGGTTGTCAACCTGTGAGTTCCCAGGTGTTTTGGCCTATAACTCCCAGAAATCCCATCCAGTTTACCAGCCGTTAGGATTTCTGGGAGTTGAAGGCCAAAACATCTGGGAACCCACAGGCTGAGAACCACTGCATAACCCCCACCCTTAAAGGCTGGCAGATGCAAAAGCAATTCTTCACCTGCGATCGTATTTTATTAAAGAAATTTCATATTTTGAAGTTAATTATGACAGTAAAACATACAAAAATAACAAAAGGATTTGGGAGTTATATTATACATCTCTTTGAAAAGCACAAGATAATGCTCATAAATTGGATGAAAAAATTCACTTCGTTGGGCTAAAGGGAAGATATCCTGGGATGCAACTGAAGCTTTATCTTCCATGAAGGAGGCAGGGGTTCAAGGTCCAGTATGTCTGTTCAAAGCTCAGCGAGAGCTATCTTCTTGGCAAGACACTTGAATAGCAATCAGCTAAACATCTTCCTTTGGAATAGGTAAGATTATGTTCTCATCTGTAACTCATGGATGATGAGCCTGTCCAGCTCATTGCTGCTGTGCAAACTATCTTGAGGCAATGTACTTATTGGCAATGTACTTAAGTATGGATGGACATCAGTTTTGATAGATTTCATAATTTCTGATAGGATTTTCAGACTTTGCTCTTACACAGGGTGAGGCAGCATAACTTCCTTTTTTTCAAAACTTAATAAAACCCATTGTGTGAATCAGAATTTTTTTTATAATGTAGGCGCATACCTAAAGGAGCCCCTGGTGGCGCAATGGGTTAAAGCGCTGAGCTGCTGAGCTTGTCGACTGAAAGATCACAGGTTCGATTCCGGGGAGCGACGTGAGCTTCCGCCTACCCTAGCTTCTGCCAACCTAGCAGTTCGAAAACATGCAAATGTGAGTAAATCAAATCCGGAGGGAAGGTAATGGCGCTCCATGCAATCATTCTGGCCACATGACCTTGGAGGTGTCTATGGACAGTGCCGGCTCTTCGGTCTAGAAATGGAGATGAGCACCACACCCCAGAGTCAGACATGACTGGACTTAATGTCAGGGGACAACCTTTACCTCTTACCTAAAGTTTTGTTTTACGTAGTTTTGAAGATCAAATTAAGTAGGTGACGTCCCCCATTCTCCATACATCGACTAAACCGATTTTTGGCGATTGTCATGACTCTTGCCAGCATAGCAGGCGTTATGTTGGCAGTTTCTTCCTGGATGTTGGTTTTCAAATCTTGTAGGGTCCTTGGACGGTTCACATAAACACAGGATTTCAAAAAACCCCATAAAAAAAATCACAAGGGGCCAAATCTGGAGAGCGGGCTGGCCACTCCAAATCCGCTCAGAAAGTAGGCCTCAACAGCAAAAGCACGCTCCTCACTGTTCCAACACATGATGGCGACTGAACTGTGTCAGGACAAAACTTTATACTCCCGCCTCTCAAACGAGACCACTAGTACTTTGCTACATCTTCAACCGACTGAATGGCGCGCATTTTAAAAAGGAAGTTATGCTGCCTCACCCTGTATTTTAAAGCCCTAAATGGTTCAGGTCCAATCACCCATCTGACTGCATCTCCTCATACCAACCTGCCCAATCGCTAAGATCATCTGAAGAGGGCCTACTCTCACTGCTGCTACCACCTCAAATGTGGCTGTGGCAACAAGAGAGGGCCTTCTCGGTGGCTGCCCCAATCCTTTGGAACTCCCTCCCCAAGGAGGTTAAAACAGCCTCTTCCTTGTCATCCTTTAAAAAACAACTAAAAACCTTAGTGTTTAAACAAGCCTTCAGGGATGAAATATAGTCTGAAGTGAAAGTAAGGCCAACTTTTATTGAGCTGAGCGAAGTGCAATATGATCCAACAATAATATATTTGTTTTTAAATGCTTATTTATATTTTATTTTATAGGTGGTTTTATTTTATATGATGATTGTTTTGGACTTGTATTGCTTTTATTATTATTTACAGTATTTATATACTGCTTTTCTCACCCCTAGGGAGACTCAAAGGTTTTAATCTGTGGATCCTATTGTGGGAGAAAAGCAGGATACAAATAAATTATTATTATTATTATTATTATTATTATTATTATTATTATTATTATTATTTCAAATTAAGTGGCTTCCAAATTAGGACCTTGCTATATTGGGAAAGGACAAATTCAATAATTCTATATAGCTGAATCTTATTTTTTATTTCAAATATTTACCTTAGTTCTCCTCCAAGTCTATCGCTTCTTAAGCCTGCCCTTTTGTAATCCAAGCCACAAATAGGTAAGAGCTATTTCCACAACAGGACCAAGCTGTTGTTGGTATTGTTATGACAGAACCAAACCACAACTTTATTTGTGAGTGCAATTGATGGCAAAGTAAGGAGAATGATTCCACTTAGATTCCCAAGGCAGGGAACCTTACCAAAAGAGCACATTTTGGAGAAATTGAAGCATCATGTGTCAGAGCAAAAACAATGGTGGCATTGTTTGATTCATCTGTGCAGAAATGCTAGGCAAGGTCATAACAGCCATGAGAACTCTTGTCATACAGGTTATGCCAAGGCAGGAGGGAAATGCTTCCAAGTAAGAGATAGTCAGGACAGTTCAAAGCAGAGTGATGTTCACCTACTCTTTTGATTCACTTACGGAAGGCAACTTCTTCTCTGTCCCTTACTGTCTTACATTCTGGACTCATTGTCCACATGGTTCATCTTCATAAGCAATAGCGATCCCCCGTCGTCCTGCTACAGCTTTTGTGACTGCTGTCTGGCCCAGCTGTGGCTCCAGCCCCTGCCAGCTGCGTGACTTGAGAAATGAAGCTAAGGCAGAAAGGAAAAACCATTACTACATTGCAGGCATCACTTAGGGAGGAAACAGAGCTTGCAGCAAACTCTGCCTTACAGATTAGAGATTTGGGGAAAGAGCAATACATAGTGCTTTGTATTCCTCTCATTCAGATAACCAAGCCATTCGCTCACCATTTGCCCTTAATCAGGGACCCAAACCTTCCAACATATAGTTAACAATCTCTTTATCTGTTATCAATAGCTATTAGTCAGAATAAGAATCCTGTGTGGTGAAATTTGTTTATTACCATTTGAGAGGATTCTGGCTGCCATTTTAATCCTTTTTCTCCCCCTTTCCAGTTTGCAAAGCACTGTTTAAGGCCACCTACCTGCCGGGCTGATTTCAGCCACAGTCTGCAGATGGTTGCGGCAGGCCACAGCAGTATCAGAGCTCAGTTTTGGATCTGGCACTATGTTGAGATTAGTTGAGCGCAGCTCTCCAGTGATTAGTGAAATGCTGGGTTCATCTTCAGCCTCTGACATCTTGTCTGGGAAAGGAGTGTGAGCACATGCTCCTGTAGGCATGAGAACAGAGAGCAATAACTGGGCTAAGCACCTACAGAATTAAGCCCTGCTCATGACCTCTGTAAAGCCTGGTTCAAGCATGCAGAAAGACCATATGGTACAGTTCTTCCTGGCCTATATTTCTTAAAAGTAAAAGTGGAAGAGAAATATAAAACTGAATACTATTTGTGGTAAAGACAGTTCCTGCTGCAAGGTTCTGGGTAGTAATGGGAAAGTAAAGGCATCAGCAAGGAACTCTATTTTGTGCCACTGAAGGAACAGAAAAGCTTTGTTAAATTATAATAAAGTAAATTCCAAAGGAGCCCCCCGGTGGCACAGTGGGTTAAACTGCTGAACTTGTTGACCAAAAGGTCGGTGGTTCAAATCCAGGGAGCAGGATGAGCTCCCGCTGTTAGCCCCAGCTTCTGCTAACTTAGCACTTCAAAAACATGCAAATGTGAGTAGTACTGCTTCTGCTGGAAGATAATGGCACTCCATGCAGACATGCCAGCCACATGACCTTGGAGGCGTCTATGGACAATGCCAGCTCTACGGCTTAGAAATGGAGATGAGCACATCCCTCAGAGTCAGACATGACTAGGCTTAATGTCAAGGGGAAATCTTTACTTTTAAACTGCAAAACCTTATGCCTGCCAGAAACCTTGAAAATAAATAAGGCTTTTCAGCAGTCAGAGAACATAATTTCAATAGTTTGTTGTGAAAGAAAAAACGTAGCATATCTTATTACTCATAGCCATTTCCCCAATACAGAACCATTTATTTATTAATAAAAATATTTCTATCTCACTCTGTATACATAGATCTCATTACCTGGTAGGAGGTAGTGGAAGTCAGTGACATAGCTGCCTGTCCAAATCCGTGCTGGATTGCATGCTAATTCCATCTCATAAGGTGTGATGATGGGCCGGTAGAAATCACTGGAGTCAAGCAAGGAATTTAGAGGGCAGGCTACTAAAACAAAGATTTCTATTTCTAGAAAGTTTGCTAGCTTGGCAGGGTTCGGTTTCCCCACAGCCAGAGTGTAGGCACGTTTGCCTGCCTTGTGAATGATACCACGCAAATGCTGTAGAACAGATAAATAGTCAGCCACACCAAGAGTGCCCACCACAATACCCACTACTTGGGCATCCCGTGCCCGCTCCACCAGATAGAGGCGCCGTCGCAGGGCTCGGTTCACATCCAGTGTTTCTTTTCGGCCTTGTCCTGTTTTAGGATTAAAGGAACTGAAAGAGCATTGGTTCCAGCTCAACATGAAGTTTGTGAGCTCTGGTCCTTCACTGCCCACGTAGAACATGCTATATTTCTCAATACCATGTTGTTGGTCTATTGCAAAGCATCGGCCAAACTGCCTCATCAACCCAGAAACTGGCTGGGTTGAATTATCAGGTTCTTTGTTGTCCAGTTGGGAGAAGACAACATTGGGATAAATGGGTTGCAGCTCAGAAGCCAAGTCATCTGAGAAAAGAAGAAATGTGACTATGAAGAGAATGTGACACAATCTGGCATTTTCTGCAGTGATCAAAATACCCAGCAGGCTTCCCCCATGGATAGAGAATGAATTATCCCTGTATCAGAAGCTAGAAAGACTACAGACCAGATTTGAAGGCTGGAATAAACCAAGGACCAACCAAAGTTGAGGGGAGTTAATTTTACATGTCCTTTAAATGATGCCAGCTCTTTTAACAGTTATGACAAAAATATAAACTGGAACTCTTACGATACTAATAACTACTTTTACTTTCCTCACTTTCCCCTTGCAATAATATCTGTGCAGAAGCTACTGTGACGGGAATCTACAATGGAATTTACATGCTTATTGGTAACCTTCAAGGATTCACTCAAAGTACAGAAGTGTTTAGAGATAACCAACATGTATTTTTGGTCCTACAATATGAGCATTGCTATTAATTGTTGTGGAAAATCCTCTTTACGGGAACAGCAAGGATAACAAAAGAAAACATTTAGAGAAATAGACATTGCTATGGATGTTCTCTTCTATACAGACTGCAGGCTGGGAATGAGAAAAATAGATAAAGCCAAGATCCGAGATTAGAAAGGAGAGGTATTTCAAATTTTGGAAATCACATGACAGAATTTTTCCATCCTGGCCTAAACTATGTCTTACTGAGCCTGTAATGAAATCCAGCAATGTGTTTTAAGCTAACGATTCCACGAAACAAGCTTTCTGGTCTTACCAAGAGCATGAGAATAGATCACTTCAGTCAGTACAACCACATGAGTTTGGTGGTCAGGATGCAGTTCCTGGAAGGCCTCAGCGCAATGTGTGACATCTAACGGCACACGGCCAAATATATGTAGCACTGGCAGCTTGCAGCAGGGGCTCAGACAGGCAGGACCATAGTGCACCACAGCCTCAGCATCCACATGTTCTGCTGCCACCTCATCCACACAACAGCTAAAGAAAAGCAACACTATTACTTAGGGAATCCAAAGGCAACCTTTATCAAACACCTGCCCCTTTCATAAAACAACAAAATGTTTATACCGCCTCTCCAGAAAGGAAATTCCAGTTTCACAGCAGCTCAGCCAATGATGGGGAATCCAATAACACAGGCATGGGCAAACTTCGTCCCTGCAGGTGTTTTGGACATCAACTCCCACAATTCTTAGCAGCCAGTAAGCGGGCTGGGATTTCTGGGAGTTGACGTCCAAAACACCTGAAAGGCTGATGTTTCCCCATGCCTGCAATAGCAGGAGGAGCACAAATTCCTCCTACTATTGTATATTATATTGAAGTACATCTGCAATTTTTTAAGTCTGCAGACTGAAACCCCACAGGGTGTGTTGTATTTGCACAAAGTGCCTCTGATGTAGGAGAAGGGACGCTCTATGACCTCACCTGCCATATGATGTATCCCCTAGGATATACATTTTGGCACCACTTGCTGCTTCCATCTTGATGGCAACATCACCTGAATCTGATAGTAGATCATCAGGGAACTGAAGGGCAACCTAAAACAAAAGGCCAAAATAGGTTCTCAAAGTTTCTATGCCAAACATATCCTTTAAAAACCAACTTAATCAGACTTCCTACAGACAAGACAGTGCAAGTTAAGTATCCATTATTCAACTTGCTTGGGACAAGAAGTGTTTGGGATTTGGGTTTTTGTTTTGTTTGTTTGTTTTTTATTTGGAATACCTGCATTTACATACGTACATGTTGTTTATGTCTCATGTTTAATGGTTTAATGATTTTAATTTATAGTTATGTTAGTGCTTAGTTATTATGACTTTTCTTTTTACATGTATGTTGGCATTGAATTTTTGCCATTGGTTGTAAACCGTCTTGAGTTCCCACCAGGGATGAGGAAGGTGGTATATAAATATAATACATAAAAAAATAAATACATATAGTACAATCCTCTAGTTTCTTAGATGTGGTTATCATGGTTGTCTATGGGCGAGCAGATGGCGACCGGTATATGGCATATGTTCTGTATCTCACAAGTTAGAGATGATTGGGAAAAGTGGTGCCATTTTTGCAATCAGCAGGTCAAATATACCCAGAAAACAGACTAACATTTGAGGCACAAAATGTGTGCTATCCAGTGCAAGTGATGCTGGATTTGTATAGCAATTATTGTCACTTCATAGCAAAATGATATTGAGCCAGTTCCAGGAAAGATGTATAGCTTCCTGTGGGACTGCAAGGCCCCATCTCACCTTGGTGAAACCATTATCCACCACAAACGAAGTGGCTTTCTCCAGTTCGTAGAAATCTTCTAGTGTCACAGTCGAGGGGCGTCCTCCAGAGCCTCCAGGATCCAGGGCCCTTTGAATCACCTCCTCCCCATCACTGCTGAATGCTGTTGTCATGGTGACCTGAAGCAAATCATAAAAAGGTACAGCTTGGACGGTGATGGCTTTTGGCACCACTCTGGTTCAGAACAACGCCAAATAATGTAAGGAATGTGTTGCCGAAGGCTTTCATGGCCGTAATCACTGGGTTGCTGTGAGTTTTCTTGTCTATATGGCCATGTTCCAGAAGCATTCTCTCCTGACGTTTCGCCTGAATCTATGGCAGGCATCCTCAGAGTTTGTGAACTCTGTTGAAAACTAGGGTTTTTTCCACAAATATATATAACACCTCTCAACAAAGGAATCTCACAAGCAGGAAGCAGCCAGACTTTGAAGCTGCAAGGCAATTAAATGCTGACCAAGCTGGCCAATTGCAACATTTGCACTTGCTTCAAACAGACAAGAGTTCTTTCTCCCACGCTGGTCATTCCACAGATATAAAAACCGAATCTTCCTAGTTTCCAACAGACCTCACAACCTCTGAGGATGCCTGCCATAGATGCAGGTGAAAAGTCAGAAGAGAATGCTTCTGGAACATGCCCATACAGCCCGGAATACTCACAGCAATCCAACATAAGGAATGACACATTCATAGACTGTGGGGGCATCTACACTGTAAAATTAGGGCAGTTTGATAACACTTCAGAATGGGAAGAAAGGGGTTGTAGTTTGATGAGGCACCAGCACTCTTTGGCAGAGAAGGCTAAAGGCCTTGTAAAATTCCAATGACTCCATAGCATGGCAGTTAAAATGTTGTCAAATCAAATTACAGTAATTCTACAGAGTGGATAACCCCCACCTACTCCCTTTTCACTCACCCAGGCCAATCCTCGATCCCAACCACATGGACACTTCTATTTCCAGAACGGAGATAGAAGCCGTCCAATGATAACACCCGAAACATATTGGTCTTCGTGACGTCATTCTCGGAAGAACCTTGTAGCCAATCAAAAACATCGAGAGAAAGAAAAAAAAAGGAGGGCAAGCCGGAAAGGCAAGCCCGTGCGTAAGACCAAAAAGGGGCGCGTGGTGGGAGGTATTCGTTCTCTCCTTAGCCAATCCGCGGAGGCGGCGCGCGCTCCGTGCCCCGCGTGAGTGACAGAGTCCGGTCACGTGGCGCGGCGGCGGGTCAAGTCACCGAGAGGGTCAGGTGATCGGCTCCCAGTCGGCTGCAGTCCGTGCTGAGGGCTCGCCGCCGCCGCCGCTGCTTCCGCCTCCGCTGCCGTTTCCGCCGCCGCCGCCGCCATGTCCGGGCTCGCGCTGCTGTATTCGGGGCTGGGGCTGAGCGCGGCCGCCGCCCTCACCGGCATTGGTTAGTAGTCGTGGCCTTGGAGGAAAGGAAGGAAGGAAGGAAGGAGGGAGGGAGGCTGCTCAATGTCGACCCCATTTTGCGCAGTTACTTCCCCTTTCCCTTACCCTTGGCTGGGTCTGAATGGAAAGGTCGTAGAAGGGGGAAAGCGAGGGCCTTTGAGGCACCTTTACTCACTGTAGAACAGGCCTGGGCAAAGTTGGGCCCTTCAGGCGTTTTGGACTCCAACTCCCACCATTCCTAACAGCCTCAGGCCCCTTCCGCTTAAGCGGCTGAGGGGGAAAACGAAAGGGCCTGAGGCTGTTAGGAATGGTGGGAGTTGAAGTCCAAAACCCCTGGAGGGCCCAAGTTTGCCCAGGCCTGTTGTAGGACAAATGCAGTTTGACAGTGCTTTAGTTGCCAAGGCTCAAGGCTACGAGATGCTGGGGTTTGTAGCTTGCTGAAGCACCAGCCTTCTTTGGCAGAAAAGGCTGAAGAGATTGTAAGAACTACATTTCCCATGAATCCATTACATTGAACCATGGCAGTCAAAGTGGTGCTAAATTGCATTCATTCTACCCCTAGAAAGATACACAAAATACAGGCAGTCCCCAAGGTAATAACGAGATAGGTCCTGTAGATTTGTTCATACGTTAAATTTGTATGCAAGTCGGAACAGGAACATTTTAAGTGTAACTCCAACAATCCCTATATATGAATATATCCACATATATATGGCTGAAATGTGTGTGTGTATGTATGTATGTGTATATATATGGCTGGAGTTACACTTAAAAGAGAGTGTGTGTATAGACAGCAAAACAAGCACCACAGAGGTGGTTAATAACAAGATAGGTCCTGTAGATTTGTTCTTACGTTAAATTTGTATGCAATTCGGAACAGGAACATTTTAAGTGTAACTCCAACCATCCCTATATATGAATATATCCACATATATATGGCTGAGATGTGTGTGTGTGTGTGTGTGTGTGTGTGTGTGTGTGTGTGTGTATATATATATATATATATATATATATATATATATGGCTGGAGTTCCACATAAAAGTATGTGTGTATAGACAGCAAAACAAGCACCACAGAGGTGTTAACCCTTCCCTATGCTGCACAATATATATGTGTGTGTGTGTGTGTGTATATGTATGTATGGCTGGAGTTACACTTAAAAGTGTGTGTGTGTGTGTGTGTGTGTGTGTGTGTATGGGGGCATACTGGATTTTGGGGGGAAAGGGGGTTATTGTGAAAACAAGAATGGGTGAGAAAGCTTCAGTGGAGAACCCTTTCCTCATGATAACTCCTCCAGGAGTGAATTTCCCTTCCGAGGGGTAGATTTCTCTCACTTCCAGTTGTCTCAGCTCTGTTCTTTGCTATGCTCTTTGTTTTGTAAGTCTGATGTTTGGACTCAGGGGCTGTCTGTACTTACAAGAGAGAAAGGGGATACTTTTTGGAGTGTGGGTAAGTGGAACCATGGTTCAGTAAGGGGATCCTACTGTGATGGAATCCTGGAATCTGTAGTTTTCCAAGACCTTTAGCCCTTTCTGCCAAAAGAGGGCTGCTGCCTCACCAAACTACAGTCTCCATGATTTCATAGCACTGAGCCCTGACCGTATAAATGCCCCTTTCGAGATGAGGCCAAAGTCTAAACAATGGATTCATGTATGTTTCATGGGCATCTATCATCCACTTTGTACAGTATTATTTAGTAACTGTGCACTGAACTATTGGAAAACAAAGGTGTCCTTATCTCAACCAACCTTGTGGACTATTGTGGCTTTTGAAGTATTTTGGGTTTTGGAATAATGGATAAAGGATGTCCACCTTCTACTTGGTTCACCTTGATGTTGACCTTCTGGTAAACTCTTCTTACAGGAAAGATTATGTCATGGATTGGTTTGTGTGGAGATAATGGAGACCCTTCTTGTCAGATTTAGGAAAGAATGCAGAGGAGGAGGACAGTGCTTTGGAATACCCATTCTTTTCAGAAAGTACTTACAGCTTAAAATAAAGCTTTTATAACATGTTATTAGTATTAGTGTTTTAATCTTCGTTCTATGTTCTTTTAAATAAAATAGTAAAAAGCTATGAGAAATGGATAACAAATTATTATTATTATTATTATTATTATTGATTCTGGTAAAGTAAAAAAATCATGTTGAGTTTTTCTAATAAGTGTAAAGTGTGTGTATTCTGTATGTGTATGTTGCCTGTTGACTTATCGCAGTCCCATGAATTTCATAGGGTTTTCTTAGGCAAGGAATTATCAGGTATTTTTTTCTGCTTTGGGGATGAATATTGATTTTGGACAATTGTGGGTGTTTACAACACTTTTTGCGTGTAGCTAAGTCACGGAAGAGCATTTAGAGGAACTTCTGTTTCAATTGTTCCCTTGCTCAAGCTGGTTTGAGCTAGTCTTTCCAATTCTAAACCAAAGGATCAGGAGATTTAAGGTAAATGATGCAGAGTTGGCTTTAAAGTCAAGAATCTGACCATTATCACTTCAAACACATCAATAATGCTCTAGAATATGGGCTTAACTGAGATGAGCAATTCCTTTCCTCAGCTAAAAAAGCATTGGTTGAGCCTATTATAGTAACCCACACTGTACCCAGATAAAGATGAACAGAGCCCACCAAAAAGACGCTGCTGGGGAAAATGAACAGTTGAAGCATAATGACCATTATCTGGCCTGCTGTAAGGCAGGACCCTGTCTTTCTATATTTACACTTGAAGACTGGAACCTGGATGTCATAATATTGTCAGCCTTTTAGGTCCCACAGGATGGTTTTATTTGGGGTTTGTTCATCTCACATGTAAAATGTGATTTTGTTATTTCCAAGCAGTAGTGCACTGGTAGCTGAATGTTTTTAAAGTGAGTATTTTGGGCTCATATATACCAATTCAGTAATTTCCCCCATGTGTACAAGTTGTTAGTCATTGCATTCCGCGAGCAATATCAGCATAGATGGTACAATCCTAAAACTAAGGCCATTATGCCATCCTCTCTAACATAGTGCATCTTTCTTGAATAACTTTCTCTTCTCTTCCATTTTTAGTGTTATGTGGCAAGATCAGCTGTAGTGGATAGAGAATTCATCTGAGTCCCAGGAGATTAAAATTGTGATTGTTTAATGAGTTACCAGTATTCAGTGAGACTTTTGCTAGCAGCGTGCCTCAAGCCTTACATGCCTTTTTCACACTCCCTACCAATAAGTTATATTCTTAGCCATCCTTGTCAAGCCGTGCCCTGGTCAGACAAATGTCTGGCCCTTGAGAAGATCTCAGGCCATAGTCCTGGGTGTGTGCAAAAAAAGGCAGTCTGTTACATCTAGGATATTTTATTTCTGTTGGAGAGATCCCTGCTTTTTCTGCCAGTATTCATTTTAATGCTCCCACATCTGCTTAGGTGATGAGGAAAAACCTTCCTGGTGGAAAGCCTTCTTGTATCTGTATTCTACCAATTTGTAGCATGAAAAGCCCTCTGCTGTATTAGTTGAATAATCTACTTGTTTGTGGAGACTAAATTATTGAGGACCAACAGTGATAACGCTGCTGTGAATACTTTGCCCTACTCCCCCACCCTTGGAACAGGGTGCATAGTGGACGTGGCTTCCATTTTTCAGTTTGTTTTGTCAACAGGCTTGAGAACTATTCTAGCAGGAGTCCCTTGTTAGCTATCTGAGATTCATTGGTAGCCTCAACTGGATTTATCTGGCTCATTTGGTTCAGACTTCACCAATCAGGATAGCAGAAGGGCAAGCAGAGCATTCGCTTCTGACCTTCTAATTCAAACTCTCTTCCTTTAAGGTCATTTCATCAAGTGGGCACAAGTAATGGTGGAAGGAAGAGAAGATTCTGGACTAGTTCCTGCCAGTGCTATTTGCTATACTCAGTGCACTGCTTTGCTCAGTAGTGCTTCATTTTCATTTCTTATATGTCCCTTTCTAGCGAGGGTCTCTACCCACCCCCAGAGCATTTTTGTGCTTCTTGTTAACATGAAATAACTCTCAATTCCTCTTTCTGGTTGGGAAAAATATAACTCCTCCTTTTCTGAGAACAGTACCAAAAAGGAAATCAATAGCTTCTTTCTTTTCAGTTGGATTTCAGCATAGTTGACTCATGGAGGATCTGAGCCTGTCTTCGTTGCTGCCGACTTTGAGCTGAAAATGAGCCCTTATTGCTTTGGGACATTTGTGCCCCTGAGTTGAAAGTTTACAAAACAGGCTGGTGGGTGATAGGACAAGAAGGAAGATTGCTAAACTCCAGGGCACTGAGTTGGTTCTTGTTCTTTGGTCAGTAACGTGAGCAGGCAATCAGCCAGTGTACAGAGGCAGTAATGTCTTGGAGTATATCTGGCTGGAGGGGGCAGAGGAGGGGAAATCGGCCCACTGGAACATTTCAATGTCTTGTCTATATTGTGCTGAATAAGCTTACATGAGAGGAAATATAGCGATGCATCACTTGAATCTGTCTGATGCCTGGTTGCTGTTTGTATTTAATTAGGGAGCATAGCATACCATTTGACCATGAGACAGTAGTGAACAAGCAGCGTGATTAATGGATTCCAGTAAAATTCATTAACTGTATTTTGTCTTCCTCTTTATGTCAGGTAGCTTTCACAATGAAATTAACTTTTAACAACGTAGGCAATTTTTCTATAAGTGCAAATGATTTATTGTGCAATTCTTCTTTTTGGGCTAAAAGCCCAAAAGACAGTTATTCTTTTAAACAAAGAGTAGTAGTGTAATAAAGCAGAATCATAGCAACTGTTTATAAGTACCATCACCATGTTTTAAAGATAGTTGTGAATATTTTATTGCAGATAGTTCACTGAGTTGCTATTCTGAGAAACCTGTGATGCCCCCAATTGTTTTTGTTTGGATTGTCTGACGCAAGTAGTGTTCTTAAAATATCACTGTAATTTTTGACAACTTCTGCATGTAAGAGTCATGTTCAGTACCAGTGGCAGAATTGTACCACTCGTTGATGTTTGCTTATGGACCCAACAGAGGCAGAGAAGAAGGAGGGTATTCTCTGCTGGAAGCAAATAGTTTAGCATGTGAACATCCTTATTTTCCATCTTATTATTGCCATACTTTAAGATCACTCCAATGAAAAACCCAAGTCACTAGATGTAGATTCAAAAATTCCTACCATAATGTATAGAAAACAACATTTTGTTTTTTTCCCTATAGGATTTCTAAAATAACATATTGAAAATTAGAGGTGGGGACTGAAAATTGTATTTGTTGACTGACTCTTGCAATTGTACATTCGATCCTCACTATGTAATAATTCCTAAAACATTTGCAACACGAAGAGGCAGCAAGAGGCTCTTGTAGACTGGCACTAAGCTACATCTTGTGTTGGTGACTTGAGTAAGGGAAGAAAAAGGTGCTGTAAACCTATGTGAGTGTGCACTGATAACCACACAAACCAAATAATAGGCTCTCTGATGCTTCTGTTTAATTTGGAGCAGGCTTATATGGAAAGAGGTAGTCTTACACATGTAGCACTTCATAGCATCTTGTATTGAGCTCAGAAAAAAAAATGAAGCCTGGCCGACCAATGTTACATGGTGTTGAAACTGCATACCCAACAAGGTGTATCTTCGGACTACTTTTCAAGGGCATCTCAATGTTACAGTAGTATAATTGGGGGCATGAACCTGTGTGGCTCGGTCTGCCCTCCCTAAAAATAGGTCAGGCTGAGGCAGAAATTAACTTCTATATGGCAGCTCATTTTGAATATTTTTGCACCTTGTTGTTAGCTAAATGTCAGGAAGATTTCAGCAATCCTCGGACATGTAGGTGAAGAGATGTGCTCATTAACTAGCTCCAGCTTTGCTTTCAAAGCCTTCATATGCAGGAAGAAGCAGCAGGTTGTCAGCTCCTAGTGCTCCTGTTTCAGTGATCAGAGGTGGCTGCTGCTGAGTGAAGGGTCTGAAGCTGGCAGCGCCTGTAGGAGAAAGTTGTCACTTGGAAACAGGTTTTACTCTTGTGAATAAAGGCTGGTGTTTATGAAGGTGGGTGTCTATGTGTGTGCCCCAAGGGTGCTTCTCAATAAGCACTGAGCTGTTGGGTGCTGTCTCTAGTTTTCCGGCCTATTTCACTACTTCTTGTTATGGAATTATCTTTTCTTGATTTGTATTTTTTTGCTCAATCAGAAAAATCTAGAAATAGAAAATCTGCACCTTCATTTGAATATTCTCGTTCTCCATAGCGTTTCCTAATGTTAAACACGCTAAAGGGTGGCCTGCTAATGCTGAACCACATTGTCACCACTGTTATCATTTTTTGCCTTTTCTCAAATGGCCAGGTTCACAGCAGAAAGTATCTGCCAGAGCCTGATAATGAATAGAAGGGAGTCCTTTTGTCCTGAGACAACGTTGCCACCATACACTCAGTTTGTATGTCCCAAAATATACTACTCATGGTCATATTATTGACTCATGAATTGCTTCTGCCCTTATTTTCCACTCTGAGCCTGTGCATGTGACTTTCCTTCCTGTAGGTTATGTATGTTCCTGTTACGTTTTGGCCCCTTGACTGTGGAACACCCTCCCCAGCAATGTTAGATCAGCCCCCTCCTTTCTGATCTTCCTCAAGAGAGTGAAAATGTGACTTTAAAGAACTTGTGCAGTAGATAGACTTGTAACAATGTGCAATGACCATCGGAACAACCCGGATTACGCTCGTGGATTACGTGTTTAACGCTGAATGTATTGTTTTTAAATGTTTCAATTTTAATGTACTTTTAAATTCCATTTTAATATTTATTTAAGTGTACATTGTGTTTTAGGGCATTGAATTGTTGACTGTATGTAAAACCGCCTTGAGTCACCTCTGGGGTGAGAAAGGCAGGGTAGAAATCTCATAAATAAATAAATATGTTGTTACTATCTATTAATATGACTGGTGCTTGCTAGACATCTTCTTTACCCTAATTGAGCTTGGAAACAGTTTGTCTAACTAGAGCCAAAATCTTGATAAATGGGGAGATACCCATTTAATCCCATCTTGATCTAAGAATGGATGCTTCTGTGTAAATCCATTTGATTCATGCTATATCATATTTCAGAAATAATATGCATTCTTTCCTTATGTCTGAGACCACTGAAAGATATGCAGGTATAGGTGAAATGTCTACAAAACATGTTCTCCTGTGACCTCCACTACTTTATTGAAGGATACAAGATGTAATACATTACTGATAAACAATGGGCTCTTACTATCTGCTGGGGTTTGGTTCCAGGACCACCTGTGGATATCACAATCTGTGGATGTTCCCTCTATTATATACAGTGGTGTAGTAATATGGTGTCCCTTATATAAAATGGCAAAATCGGGGTTTGCTTTCTGAACTCAAGCTGTGGCTGATGGAATCTGTGATGCAGAGAGACAGCTGTATTGCTTTATCTACAGCAGCGTTTCTCAACCTGGGGGTCGGGACCCCTAGGGGGGTCGTGAGGGGGCATCAGAGGGGTCGCCAAAGACCATCAGAAAACACAGTATTTTCTGTTGGTTATGGGGGTTCTGTGTGGCCAATTCTATTGTTAGTAGAGTTCAGAATACTCTTTGATTGTAGGTGAACTATAAATCCCAGTAACTACAACTCCCAAAAGTCAATGTCTATTTTCCCCAGGCTCCACCAGTATTCACATTTGCGCATATTGAGTATTTGTGCCAAGTTTGGTCCAGATCCACCATTGTGCGAGTCCATAGTCCATAGGTGAACTACAACTTCCAAACTCAAGGTCAATACCCACCAAACCCTTCCAGTGTTTTCCGTTGGTCATGGGAGTTCTGTGTGGCAAATTAGGTTCAAATCCATCGCTGGTGCAGTTTAGAATGCTCTTTGATTATAGGTGAACTATAAATCCCAGCAACTACAACTCCCAAATTACAAAATCAATCCTCCCCCACTCCCACTAGCATTTACATGTGGATGCATTGGTTATTTGTACCCAGTTTGGTCCAGTGAATGAAAATAAATCTTGCATATCTGATATTTACATTATGATTTATAACAGTAGTAAAATGACTGTTATGAAGTAGCAACAAATACAATGTTATGGTTGGGGGTCACCACAACATGAGGGACTGTATTAAGGGGTCACGGCATTAGGAAGGTTGAGAACCACTGATCTACAGCAACAATGTCATAGAAGTAGCTTTCTTTTTGTTTCATTTAGAAAGCTTACTTCAAACCAGAAAAAGAAATACCTCATCTTTGCATTCGTGTCTGCCGATTCACCTTCACCAGTTTAGTATAGGGTCTGGTTTCTTTAAGGCAGTGGTTCCCAACCTTTTTTTTTTTTTTTAACCATGGACCACTTTGACTAGGGACCAATCTCCAACATTAGAACCAAAAGGGTTACGAATCAGTTTTCCGTCAATTTTAGATTTAGTTTGGGGTGCTGATTCAGAAAATTGCATTGGATAGACTACATCAGCTGTAGTTTCTAATACAGAACATATGTCATGGTCAGTGACAGGGAAGGAGTGGCATGTGGTGTGAAAGGAGCGGAAATAAATAAAATAAAGAGAAAGGAGGCTTGTCGACCAGATTTTAGTCCTCGAGGCCCACTGGTGGTCTGTGACCCACAGATTAAGAACCACTGCTTTAAGGGGATGACAGAAATTGCAGTTGACTGCTTCAGATCCTCAAAGCATTGAATTCTTATGCTGCTCAGTACAGGCCATTTCAAGAAACTAATTACGTTTCTGTAAATGCTGGGGATGTGAGTCTGTTTTTTAAATCTTTGTGTATGATGGGAAGCCCTGCTTCTCTTTTACTTAAAATAAGAAAAATTCCCTATGAAATAATTATTTGGCATGCTAGACATTTTTGGCATAAGCTAAATGAAGGTGACTTTTTAAAAAAGCCTTTTGTTTTTCCTATGGGAAACCCGGAAGCAACTGCCTGGTGTGAGGGTGCTGTTGTTGCAAATCAGGCTTTTGAGAAGACCAAGAACTAAGGTATTCAGTGTTGCTTTTGTTTTCTAGGGATCTGCTACACAATATTTGGCCTGGGATTTCGTTTTGATGTGGCATGGTAAGACACTCTTTCCTCCTGAGGCTGGACTAACAGAAGGGGAGTTGGCATGTTTTCCACAAACTTTTAGGGAAAGAAGCAGGAACACATAATCATAGAGTTGGAAGAAATCACAAGGGGCATCCAGTCTGATCCCTCAACCACACAGGCATAAATACTCTTGACAATAACAGTAACTTTACAGGTTAACTCTCAATTTCTGAGACTTTGCATTTGTAAAGGGCACGCAGTATTGTCCTTTGGGGTGACATAGAGAAAAAAGGAATGGCTTGGCATGGTAGCATCACTAGACAGGCAGCATTACTTCCCTTCCCCCATTTGTTGACCACTGTATTGATGACAGTATCTCATTTCACCAATCAATTCTGATAATTGCCTCATTTTGCCTGCAGGTCATCTGTCCACTACTCTTCCCCTTCACTCTTGCAAGCTGTTTGTCACTGCTGGTTAGGTTTAATTGACAAACCTCGTGCGGCCCAGATCCTGGTGGCTTATCTTTATAAGCATCATGGAATTGCTCTTGTCACCAGTGCTTTTTGCCCTTCTTGTGTTTTTGAATAGCCCCTCATTCTTATAGTAATCTTTTTAGGCTCTAATGGGACAAAAAGACTCCCAGCCTTTGTTGTAATAAGAAGGCCTTCTGGTGGGCACAAGAAGGAGCAGATACTAGGACAGTGTTGGCAAAGTCCAAATAGCATTGTCTTGCACCTTCTCTCTGTCATAGCCAGCATAGCCAATGATGAGGAATGCGGGGAATTACAGTGCAGTGTTATCCGCATGGCTTCACTGTGCCCACCCCTACTCTGGGAGATGAGCTGGAGGGGAAGGTTGACCTGTTTAGCAATAAAGAAACGTCTCTGTTGTTCTGTTTTGTTTAAGGGTCCTTCTTCTGCATATAATACTAACAAACTATTCTTTCTGCAGGTTCCTGACCGAGACCTCGCCATTCATGTGGTCCAATCTGGGCATTGGACTGTCTATCTCACTGTCAGTGGTGGGCGCTGCTTGGTGAGTGCTACTGTCAGCTGCTGAGGGGGATCCCCTTTCTCCTGAATACTCTTGAGCTCTGCATTGGTGTCACCTTGTTAGACCTGATCCAGAGCATGATCTGAAGACAATTCGTACAGATACCTTACAACACACTTACACTTTTTAGTAGGTGTAATCATTTAAGGTGTTCGTTGAGATCTGCAATTTTTTCAAGGGTTCCTCCAAGCTAGAAAAGGTTAAGGTTAGGGTCTGAATGGGAGGTGACCCATGCAGAGAATCCCAAATATACTGCCTTGACTTTTGTGATAGAAGAAAGCCAAGTGTGAGTTTCTTATGTATTAGTTACTTACACTTATATCCTACATTTCCTTTTAAGTTTAAGGTGATGTTTCTTTTCCTCCCCTCTATAGCAACCATTTTGAGTAGGTCAGTCTGGGAGACAGACTGACCTAGGTCACCCAGTGAGTTTCACGGTCCAGTGGGAATTAAAAGCTAGTTCTTCCACATCCTATTCCAAAACTCTATTGTACTAACTCTATTACATAGGCTTTGTACTTAATAAATTCAGAAACAAAAGTTGTGACTGTGTTATCTAAGCAATCTGTCATCCCATTTGCTACGTGCAGCTCTTGTGTGGCACTGTGATTATATAATAAGCGTGATTCTAATCTTTTCTGTGACTATGTTTTCAGGGGCATTTACATCACTGGATCCAGCATAATTGGCGGTGGTGTCAAAGCACCAAGGATCAAAACCAAAAATCTAGTCAGGTGAGAAGAATCCTTTTCTCAGCATATACTATGGACATAGATACTGCGTATCAGAAAAGTGTCCTTTTTTTCTCTTTCTAACCTTGGCTATAGGTTTTTAATGTGTCTGTTTTCTTGCTTAGCACTTAAAGTTGTTCTGTTTAGCTTTGAGAATATGAGAAGCCCTAAATTAATTGAAGGAACTGGTCATTACTATTGATCCAGCAGGTTTAAGAGACAAATTGACTCCATTAGAACCACCATAATCCCTCTTTATTTTCTTGGATCTAAGCATGAACACGTCCTGAGACTTTGGGGATATAACCTTGTTGCCAAACCTTTGTAGAACTGTTCAGAATACATTTTTTCTGTAAATGATCAGACTGTCCTAGAAGGAATGAAATTAAAGACTGAACATGTGTAAAATATAGTTCTTATCTACAGATTAAGAAGATAAAAGTAACTTTTGCTGAATCACTTGTCATTACAAATCTATCTGAATTTTTTTCACTGCACATGTCTTTGCCGAAGAATCTTATTCATGCAGGATTAAAAAGATGGGATTGGAAACTCTATTTGGCATTGTGCTGATATGCAAAAACCCCCACAGTTCCTTTTGCTGTAGGTGGAGGTATGACATTCTGTTACATTTTGACTTCCTACATAAAAGTAATTTGGACCGTGCAAGCAAGCTTGAGAAATATATTGTTTAGAATCCTGGCTCTTGCATTGAGAAGGTGGCACCTGACTTGATGTTCTGTGAAAGACAGATCAGCAGAATCCTTTCTCCACAACAGCAACAACATATAAAATTTCATTGTCTTTTAATTTTTGTACACTGTTTATTTTTGAACTATATTTGTTTTAGCTGTTGTGAGCCACCTTGTGCCCAAAAGGGTGAGGGCATGATATAAATAAATATTTATAAAACAGCATGTTTAGTCACAAATGTTCTTTAGGCCACATTCTTTGCTAATTTTCCCCATACTGAACTTATCACCATTGAGACTTCCTAACTACTAATCTCTACTTTTTTTCTGACAGTATCATCTTTTGTGAAGCTGTGGCCATCTACGGGATCATCATGGCTATTGTGATTAGCAACATGGCAGAGGTAATGAAGTGCTTTTCCGATACATGAGGGATATATTTGTATGCCAAATTGGGTTCTACCACACACTGATGTATTTGATTTGGTTTAGAATAATCCTCCTAATGCCATATAGGGCAGAACAGAGTAGGAGATCGTTTGACAAAAGGGAAAGGGAACATATTGATAAGGTCCAAGCAACTGTGGAACAAAATGCCATTCTGGATAGAAGTGCAGCTGCAGGAAGCAAACCTAGTTCAAACATTTAAGGTGCACTCTAGTCTTGATGGGGCAGAATAAAAACTGCTTAAATAATATTGAAATATGGACCAATATGCTCCAAGGCAGTAAGAAGTAATAAGAGCTTTGTTCTTGTCAGATAATTTGTACTTCTGAGAGCAGAATATCCAAATTATATGTGACTATTGGGTCATTAGCTGCCTTTTTGCCACTCCAAGACCTCTAGAATATTGCCTGGCAAGAGATAGGAAACCTAGGTTGGCCACGCTTTTATAATCCCTGTACTATCTTCCCCCCAGAAATGCTGGCAAAGATTCTGTAAATTCAGTTCTGAACATATCATAAATATTGGGCAGTGTGTAACCCTACATCTAATCATGTTGAGATTTAGCTGTTGTCCTGAATTGATAGGGCACTATTTCTGCTCATCCTTTTTGTTGCCTAAAAATCCCCCTTCTTTTCTTTCTTTCTTTTTTACAGAATTTCAGTGGCAGAACTCCTGAACAAATTGGTAGTCGGAATTATTTTGCAGGTGAGTTGTTAGGCCTGAGATAGGAAGGCAGAATAACACTTGTCCTGGTGAGATAATCAGGGGCCCCTTATTATGTAATTAATGGAAGAAGCAGTCTCTTCCTCTAACTTGGTATTTGGCTACACTTAGGAGCAGTAGGTTTCCAAAGTTTCAACAAGTTACATCCAGCCCTATCTGGAGATGCCAAGGATTAAGTTGAATTTCCTCCATATGTTGTATGTTCCCTACCATTCTGTTATGGTTCTTCTTCAAGTTAAGTTTTGTCTTGCTCAAGTTTGATTCCAGCAAGATTAACTTTTTTCCATAATAGATGTAAAAAAATGCAATCAGTGGACAACTTATCAATCCTGCTTGCAGGATCTTCACAACCTATTTATGACCTTCACATTCTTCCTATTCATTCCTTATGTTGCAGTAAAGAAATATAATATGCCAGCTATGTCTCCACCATTTCACTATTTGTCATTGTGAAAAGGACTAGAGTGGACTACTTGAATTTTATATTGGAAGTGTTCCCTTTGTTGGCTGTAATAGCAGCCTATCCTTGTGGCATGGTACAGACGCAAGGCTTTAAAGCTGGGCAGAGATAATAATTTTTAGGTTTTTGTCCTGAAGGAATTGGCATAAGCAGAAAATATTATTGGGTGTTTACTCATTTGTAATGTTTTTAAATCTTGCTTATAGGTTTCTCCATGTTTGGGGCAGGCTTAACTGTGGGCCTCTCCAACCTCTTCTGTGGTGTATGCGTGGGCATTGTGGGCAGTGGTGCAGCACTGGCTGATGCTCAGAATCCCAGCCTTTTTGTCAAGATCCTCATTGTGGAGATCTTTGGCAGTGCCATTGGGCTCTTTGGAGTCATTGTGGCTATCCTGCAGGTGAGTCTCTCGTGCCTGCATCTCCATATCTGTTGCTGCCCCCAGGGTATCTTGCTCCTTCCAGCATAATTCCCAATCATTGCATAGAGGCAGAAAGCAGTTACTTGCAAAACTACTATTAGATTTATCTGATTCATAGCCTTCTCCTGTCTCTAATCCAGTATGGAAAAATATGTGCTATATGGAAGTGGGGTGGAAGGTAGAAACCCAGTCAGTCCTTTCTAACCTGATCTCCATCAGTTAACGAAACAGAAACACGTTACCAAAGAGAATTGTATAAAGGGAATGGTATCTGCTCTGTAAGTTGCATTGGGTCTTGGAAATCTTAGCAGTGGAAAGAAAGCTGATGTGTCTTTAGGCAAGCATCATGTAGACTTATTTCAATATTAAGAGTATCCCGGGATTGGACTTTTCATTGTGTACCCCAAAGGTCTTCATTAGCAGGTAGCCTTCAGGATGCATCAAGCCTGCTGAGGCCCCATCTACATTGCCTTATAATGCAATATCATAAAATGTTTAATAATATTGAACTGCATTATATGGCAGTGTAAATGGGGCCTAAGAATCTGGCTATTCTCTTCATTTTCTCTCCACTATAGCTATGTTAGTCCTATCTTAGATTGCCCTGTTTTTGCATGTTTATTTGCATTCACAGATTTCACTGTTCAAAAACAATACTAGCATTCCCTGTTAATGTGGCAGCACTAGAGTACAGGAGAGGAAGTAGATCAAGGTGTTGGGGAAGCCCCTTTTCCATACATCATAATTATAATTTAAGCCATGGCATAGTAGAGAAGGAACTGACATCCTCTTCTCAGTTATGGTCAGTATGTAGGAGGCTATAGTTAAAGGGGAGAGGATGATGCAGGAAACAGCAGTTAACAGAGTACTGGAATGTTCTGACTTGTGGTCTGTTTTCTGTGTTTTGCAGACGTCAAAAGTGAAAATGGGCGATTAAGCTGTTTGCCATCTATCTGTTTGATCACTGCAGATTCTGTACATATTTATTTAATGTCTCCTGTTGGCTTGGGGCGGAGCTTGGTGTATAAAATTATTCCTGTGATCTTCGCCTATTGGGCCACGGAAGAACCTGACCAATTGATGTGTATGTGTGAGAAATCTATCCTTCTCTTCCTGTGTCCCTTTCCTGCTCCACGTCTCCTGAAGAAAAGGCCTGAGTGCCTATGGTGGCAAGAGCCTGCAGGGCTCCAGCCCTTGCACTCCTTATGGCAACCACTGCCAAATGCAACGTGTTCTGTGAAAGAAACTCATTCGTGTCCCAAGTAATTGCCCTTCTTTGTGTGCTCCCTCCTGCTATGCCCCTCCTCTTCTCCTCCCATCCTCCTACTGGCTCCGATGGTCCATTTTCCCTGTGACTAATGGGTGGCACTGGCTGAAGTCTTGGCATTGAAGGCTTTGGGAAATGTCCTCCTAGATTCACCTGCTCCATACTGAAGGGGCACATAGGAGTTGGAAGGTGTAATTTTTGGAGTTCTCTGAAGCAACACAAATGATTGGTTATTAAAATTGATAATAATTAAATGATCTTGTGCTGTGGTTTTTTTCTTATTCACTCTGTTCATTGAGCTGCTTGGGGCATGTAGATTAATTCATGACATACAGTAGAAGCTCATAACTTCTGTTCCTCCAGGTGTTATCTCAGGTCCAAGAAGCAATTGTCAGGAGTGATCCACAACAGCTGGAGGTTGGTTTCTAGCATAAAGTATAAATAGAAAATGTACACTGTTATCCTCTATACATTGTGTCATAGTCAAAAACTGAAAGGGGAAAAAAAGCAAAATATGCCACTTTAGCCCTAAGCAAATCTTCTGAATGAGTAAAGAGGCTGTTTTGGTATATCTTCTGTTAAGAGTAACAAATGTATATTTTTAATAGTAGGTCACTTGAAGCCATCCCATACACTGATTGCTCAGTCAAGAGCTGTAGCTAATCATAGGTCTCTGATGAACATAATCCTATGGTACATTCGTTTATCAAAATATGTTTCCTGACTTTTTGCCTGACAATATGTCCCTAAGACAAGTCAATGTAAGTCAGAATTCCTATATTCCTTTAAAGACAGTATAACAGTGCTTTCCCAACATTTTATGTTGGTGACATACTTTTTAGACATGCATCATTTTGCAACACAGTAATTAAATTTTTCTAGCAAACGAGGTTAAACCAATCTCTTATAACACGTAACTAAGTTGTAATGACAAAATGTATAGCAGGGGTCCTCAAACTAAGGCCCGGGGGTCAACCTAAGTCTGTAATGACTCAAAAGCACACTACAACAACAATAACAATCCTATCTCATCAGCCAAAAGCAGGACCACACTTCCCATTGAAATACTAATAAATTTATATATGTTAAAAACATTCTTCATTTTAATTATTGTATTGTTTTTAATTGGCTTTTGCACTACAAGTGAGATATGTGCAGTGTGCATAGGAATGCATTCATGTTTTTTTCCAATTTATAATCCGGCCCTCCAACAGTTTGAGGGACTGTGACCTGGCCCTCTGTTTAAAAAGATTGAGGACCTCTGATGTATCGGGACAGAACATATCCCTTGTGGGGAGAAGGACGGGATAGAAATGTATGTAATAAATTAAAACCTTTCACTTATATTTTTAAAAAATATATGGTTTATTACTTATTACTCACATAACCTCAGAAGTTCCTTGTTACATTCACATGACGCACCTACACACTGCAGCCAACAGATTAACATGTTGCAACACACAGTTTGGAAAGGTATGCACTAGAGAGAGGTGGTATGTTTGTACTAAATGCTTGAAGAAAGGATAGAAAATGTCCAACTCTGGGTCTTAGAAGGGTAAAGGGGTGCTGCAATTTGTGAGTCACAAGCAATCTGCCTAGGACAGGCATGGGAAAACTTTGGCCCTCCAGGTGTTTTGGACTTCCAACTCCCAGAAATCCCAGCCATCTTACCGGCTGTTAGAAATTGTGGGAGTTGAAATCCAAAACACCCAGAGGACCTAAGTTTGCCTATGCCTGGTCTAGAAGATTTTTGGAACCCCAGCCCCCCAAAATGGTAGTGGGAGAGCTACAGTTGTTAAATTGTCTCTCCTGGATCCTCCAGAAATAATGCTAGCAACCACACTCACATATCTCTAAACTGGGAAAAATCTGTAGCTAAAACAGCTTCTAGTCACAAGTGCTAATTATATATTTGCCTCGTTGAGGGGAGAGAAGGGTACGAGCCACCACAGAGGCAAAGATTGGCCTCACATTCTCCATTGTTGTCCCTTCCTGCTTTAAATGTTTCTGGTGGGTTTATTGTTTTGTTTTGGGCTTTCAGTAAGCAGCTGTTTTAGTTTCATTTTAATACTAATCTTTTTATGTGAACGTCTATATAAATAAAAATGTAATGTTCGTTTGTGGGATTAACAGAACTCAAAAACCACTGGACGAATTGACACAAAATTTGGACACAAGACACCTAACAACCCAATGTATGTTCTTCACTCAAAAAAAATGATTTTGTCATTTGGGAATTGTAGTTGCTGGGATTTATAGTTCACCTACAAAGTGCATTCTGAACCCCACCAACAATGGAACTGAACCAAACTTGGCACACAGTTCTCCCACGACCAACAGAAAATACTGGTAGGGTTTGGTGGGCAGTGTCCTTTGGTTTTGGAGTTGTAGTTCACCTACATCCAGAGATCACTATGGACTCAAACAGTGATGGATCTGGACCAAACTCTACAAGAATACTCAATATGCCCAAATATGAACACTGGTGGAGTTTGGGGAAAATAGAATCTTGACATTTGGGAGTTGTAGTTGGTGGGATTTATAGTTCACTTACAATCATAGAGCATTCTGAACCCCACCAACGATAGAATTTTGCCAAACCTCACAAACAGAACCCCCATGTGGGCCACAGCAACACGTGGCAGGGGACAGCTAGTTTAAAATATTTTTATGTATATCTGAAGAATATGTGGCTATATATTTCAGTTATTTTCTTTTTTCTGCAATAACCTTTTCTTCTCAAATTACTTGCTCTAACTCCTCCCATAGTAAATTCTAGAATCATGTTCACGCAAAGTCTTTGTGAGCTTTGCCTTCATTTCATTTCTGTGTAATTAGCTCTCGGCTTTTCATGTAGACAATGTCTCACATGACCTCCTGTTTTCAGACATCAGCTTAGAACAATCGGTGGTAAGAGGACAGCAATTCTTGACACGATTTGTGTTTATAAGGTCACACTGTTACCTATGTTTGTTGAGGCTTTTTCCAGAAAGGGGAATTGTGGACACAAAGTTTAACAGATACGGGCTGTCAATGAAAACAGCAGTTTCCCTAGAATTTCCAAAGTCCTGTCTTCTAGTCCTCTTTCCCTACAGAACCATTGAGAGATGAATTGGAATATAAACGTCTTTATTCTTCATTCATATGCAGCGTCTATGGTTCAAAATGGTGTGGCCATGTTTCATCTCCCATCACGATTCTTTAAAGGAATTTGTTTCCATAATTCTCATGCCAGGCCAAGAGTTCGCTGCATATGGATTTTCCTTGTGTGCATCTGTCATCTTCCTGGGGACCCACCTTGCACAGACCTTCAACTGCAACTTTCAGTATTCTGCACACACTTGCTTCCCCAATGCCCAGTTGGAGTGACATTTCTTTTAACAGTTATGCGTCTGTCAGCCTAAAACATGTCGTTAATGTGCTCCACATTGTCGGTTGTGCGGTGTGTAGTCTGCTGCTTTGTAAATCAGTGTTCTCAATCTGTGGGTCCCCAGGTGTTTTGGCCTACAACTTCCAGAAATCCCAGCCAGTTTACCAGCTGTTAGAATTTCTGAGAGTTGAAGACTAAAACATCTGGGGACCCACAGGTTGAGAACCACTTTTGTAGAGGATTCTGAATATTAGAATGCCCTTTTTCACCAGATGACTTGTTCTTCCCGTGACTAACGGTATTGCGATTGGCAGTGTGATCTCCATACACCTTCTCCAGTCCCTTGTGGATGTTCCCCACTGTTTCATTCTCACAAATCAGGAACAGTTACAGCACATTGCTTCTGACAGGTATCAAGAGCCGCAGCCACCTTGGAGGAGTGCTACAACGATGCATAGGCATGCCCCAGGTTAATCCTGGGCTGGGCTGCTGAAATGTACTTGAGCAAATACAAGAAGGCTGAGGTAGATACACTGGCATGTGGAAATGGTAACTTTCAAACCATTTTCAAAATGGTTTGCATCTTGTCAAGTATGGCTCGATTTAACAGCTGAGTTTTTGTAAGATAACTCGTAATTCACAACACCAGTTAACAGCACACAATTTGTAGAACAAGAGGCTAAAAAGTTATTCAACTTTAAAACTGAAAACCAACTATTCAAGTTGAAGAACATGAAAAAATAATAACAATCTCTAAAGATTAGACTAGGATGAAAATCTGAAAATATTGTATTTTAACCCTTTCACCATCTGTGAACCACATATTTAAAAAAAAAACTTTCTGTATTCGCCATGAAATGTGACAATAGAACTGGACCCCAATCAGGAACATTCAGCGCATGTTTTTTCCACCTTTCCAGTCCACCAAGTGAATAATAAAATGGTAGTGACTAATACCTCGCTCTTACCTGTCTAAAAATATCATAGAGGATAGTAAGAATATAGGAAAAACCCAGTTTTTCTCCCCCCAGATATTTTTTCATTATTTATGACAAGACTTCAAGTCCCTGGCTGGCACAGCACTTTTAGATACAGACAAAGCAGTACTCCTATTCATTGCTACAGGAGCTGACAAAATGTGTAGGTTGTTAATGCTACCTTTTGGAACAGAGCTGTGTTGATATTGCATTATTTAGCCTCTTTCTCAAATTTCCCACTACTTTGAGTAAAAATACTCAAATCTATATTTGAGAATCATTCTACTATTTGTTTGTTCTGAACGGAAATATGCTCCCTCGGGGACACCGTGTTTCTAAACACTTTTCCAATGCATACCTAGTTTTTGAGAATATCTCTATAGGGGAGGGCTCAGGTCCATTAAAACTGTATCAGATAAGATTCTCTGATTCTCTGCTTCTTAATTTGATTGCCAAGCTGCTAGCATGGCTACTGGAGTTATAAAAGACATAAAATAATAAGATAGGAGAAAGTCCAATGAGAAGGTTTTTGCTAGTAGTATCCAGCAAAATTGGGCAGCAGGTGAACCCCTCCTCTACTTGGCAGCCCCCCAAAACCAGCAAAGGAGGGTTGAAATAGCCTCTGGCATCCTGTTTGGGATAGCACAAATAGCTGTTTTGTGTGTGGAGGAGAGGAGTTAGCCATTATGTTATTGCTTGTATTATTCCCTACTGTTGTTCTCTTCCAATCTCATTGTAAGTGATTAATATTTTTACTCATATATCTGTCTGTCTATCTATCTATCTATCTATCTATCTATCTATCTATCTATCTATCTATCTATCATCTATCTATCTATCTATCTATCTATCTATCTATCTATCTATCTATCTATCTAATTGGGTGAAATGGGGAAATCAGACTGAC